ACTCATGCATGCACTCTCTTTCTCTTTCTCAAATAAACAAATACCCCCCCCTTTTAAGGTGTGAAACCCATTATCTCCACTCAGGTTTCTTCCATAATCCCGTAGAAGACCTCAGGTAGGCTCCTCAGGGGGACAGGGCACCTGCAGGGGACAGGGAGATAGAGATACAGCCCTTCCACACACTGAGTCAACACAGGCATAGTGCCTGATCCTCAGCCACGGGGCAGCTAGATGGCCCTGGGCAGGTCACTTGGCCTCTGCTGCCCACTGTGAAGTAGGGGTAGTAGCACCCCTTCCTTATAGGAGGACATACAGAATAACTGGGGAAGCACTCAGCACCCTGCATGATGTGCACTGAGAGTTCAACAGCTCCTATTACGAATCACAGCACTATGTTTTTCCCCCCAACCCCAGTTCTGACTCCTCTCTTTCCATTGGGGGAGCAGGACAGAGTACAGGTTAGAGAGGGTGCAGGAGGCAAGATCACACACTGCGCTGGCCTTCACAGCCCCCGGGAGGCCTGGCCACTTCCCTAGGCAGGAAGCCCAGGCCGCGGGGGCCTCTGAGAGCCTTCTGCCCGTTTGTACAACGTTGGCTCCAAGAATTCCTGGATCCTCTACTGGAGTTGCATGCTGGCTGTCCCCTCGAGGTGCCAGGGGAAGGTTTTGGCAGCTCCTGCAGCACCAGATTCCAGTTACTCAAGCATGTGTTTGCTGGGAGGCAAAGCTCTCCTTGGGTAGGCAAGATGCTTCCCTGGATCCCCACCTGACACTGCATGGCAGGGGCTCAGCCTGACCTCTTATCTTGCAAGAGCAGGAGTTGTACCCCAGCCCACGGAAAGGTTTGTAGCAAAGTCAAATACTCCGGCCACACAGAAGGAGGCAAGCATTGCAGACACATGGCTTCGGCAGGAGGAGAGAGCAGCACAATCTTCCATAAGGCACTGGGCTGCCACAGGGCCAGACAGACCCACCAGAAAGAGGTGGCTGACAAGACTGCTGGTGCTGAGGACACTGGGAGCCTCCCGCATCAGCCCACAGGCACACCTGACAACTGTGTGATTCCTGGTGGACCCAGTTCCCTTAGGGATTCTACTGTCTGAGGAAATTACCTCCACAAGCGCACTATTTGCTGCTAGAACCCTTCCAGTCAGCACCCCAGCCTCTGCCTGGTCCCCCCTTCAGCAGCATCTTTTATCTTAGACATCAAAATCTCCTCCTCCTGAGCCAGCCGGCTCTCCCTGTGCTCATTCAGGAAAGCAGGTGGGGAAGCACTGAAGATGAGGCTCTGCAAGGAGAAGCCTTGGGCTTCTTTCCTTTGGGTGAGGACTCAGAAGCCCAGGGGCAGAGGTCAGGAGGGCCGCCCCAGCACTGCTGACAGCATTTCCCAGCTGCACTCTGCCTGGTTCCTCTCACCTGTGGGATCTGTCACCACCTGCTGTTTCTAGAAGGCCTACTGACTGTCACGATTACTGTACAGCTACAGGCAGGAGGTATTCATAAGAGAGAAGTGGAGGGCTCAGAGGATAATGGCACAAAGCGAGGCCTTCATAAAACAAACTGCCTCTGTGGGTCTTTGTGTGCTCATGAACACCAGCCAACCAGCGTCCTGGTTCCCCTGCTACCCTCCCATGCCCTAAGGTGTACGAGCCCATGTCAACGTTTGGTCTGCCTTCTTGCTCAGTGACAGGCCTAGCTCTCTCCGCACAGCACCACAGAGATGGCCTGACGAAGACCCTCACCTCTCTCCTGTGGGTCACACTGAGATCTGAAGCCAGTCTCACGAGCTCCCCACCGCCACCCAGCACTCCCTTTGATGGCCCAGCAATACCCCTCCCTCACCCTCCAGCCTGACCTGCTGGGGTGGGGGGGCACCGCCTCTAGGAGCAAGGGTAATTTTCCAAGTACACAGGGTGTGAGGTCTATGCCCACACCGCCATGGCTTATCTCCAAGCCTGACCAGGGAGAAGTTTCCTCCCAATTTCAGTAGGTGAAGCAGAAAAGCGTCAGAACATGGGTAGAGAAGCAGGGCCTCATGGACAACGGCTGTATCGTTCTTGGACCTGCAGACTCTGGTCCACCTTCTTGGATTCCTTCTGAGGATAAGCGGCTAGAGCTCTGTCTGAACACAAGTTGACCACGTCTGCCATTCATCGTTCTAAAGGCACGCTGAATCTATGAATCTAGACAAGCACCAGCCATAGTGCTCCTGGAGGTCATGCCCAGCTCCCGTAAGAAGCAGTAAATCACATGCGCCCTGCACAAAGCCCCCAACCTGCAGTGCTCTTGCCAGTTCCCTAAAGATGACTAAAAGAACATAAAGTTTCCTCACCAGGCACTGGGCTGACCTGCTTCTCTCTTCCAGCTAGCTGTCTCTTCACATCTGATTAAAATCAGCCGTGTGAATAATACAGGAGGAATTAAGTTCTCTCTTGACTGAACCAGCTGTTCACGTCTGTCACTAATCCAATTCCATTCTGAGGAGACAAACTTCCTTTGCTTGCCCTGCTGCAGATCTATACAACTTGGTTTTCCCCTTACAGAGGCTCTGATCCACCTGTGGGGCCTGGACCCTTCTTCTTGCCCAGCGTCAGCAGCCTGGAGCCTGGCGGAGTCACCTCTCCTCCTGCTCCTTTGTCTATCAAACTGCCAGTTGTTTGTGACAGCCACCAGGCTGTGAAAGGGCAGGAGAGGGAGCCACTTGGAGAGTTACACCTCTTCAAGCTATCACAACTGTGTGTGGTATGACCACTGGATGTATCCACCTAATCTCAACAAGTTCAGATTTGGGAGACATATATGTCTCCTTAAAAAGACAGGAGGTTGGCTCATCTTAAGCCTTAGCAGGATCAGGTGCCCAGCTGTTTCTCCCTAACCCAGGCATGCATGCCAGATGCAGACTCAACTGGTTCCTACTCACCGGGTAAGCATTTCAGGCAGCCCATCAAGATGCAATGATTTAGCACTTGTCCACTTCTGAGAAATGGCTCACCAAACCCTCCCAGCCTGCCCGCCCTCCCCAGCAGAATGTGGCTGGCCAGCTCCAAAGGATCTTTCAGCGTCATTCCCAAGAGTGCCCCCTGCTGGAAAAACACAACAGAAGCTGGCTGCCAACTCTCCTTCCATTCCAGCTCTCCTCTAAAAGTCCTTTTGGGGGAATCATTTCCCAAAGTGATGGGAGGGTAACTAAATGTATTCCGGCACGGAGCCTACAGCAGCAAGGCTGCTTGATTAAGAATGAATTACACTTTCATCAGCACATAGAGAAAATTGATTCACAAGGCTGCATTGTGATAATCTTGTTCCTAAAGCAAAAAAGGGTGGCGTGGGGGTGGGCAGGACACAGAGCCACGTCGGCTATCAATGATGAGAGAAAGGAAGCTCTACAATTAAGCTGGGAGAACGAAACTAATCAGAGCGCCAGGATTCCTCCAACTAGTCTCTGGAGGCCTTGCCTCAATCCACTCATCCCGAGGGAAAAGAAAGGAAGGTGGGAGGGGGACTGCCTAATCCATTTTAAACAATAAGACCCACAATGCTGAACCCATTTTAGATACTAACCTAATAACTCTAGGCTTGGAGACTCTGCATGTCCCATAAAAACGCAGTGGAATTGAAATGCAAGCCCTAAAATCATGTTATACTTCCTCTCTGCCACTACATAATGAAAATGAAGGAGCGGGGGAGGGCACAGATTCAAAAGGACATGCAGATTCTCTGGCGCTGGGATTCACTAGGAGAAAGCCAACTCTGGAGCAGAAAGGTGGCAGCCAAATCCAGCAGCAGCAAATTCCAACATAATCTTTGGTTTCAGGTGTGATCAACAGTCCCCCTTCCAAATTCAAGCTGAGGGGGCAAGGCCAGTGAAGGGGCACAGTTGCTGTAAACTGGCCAGATTAAGCATTTCTGCCATCTTGCCTAGTGATGGCTTGCACTGAATGCCATCTGGTGATATACACAGGATGAGAGCTGTGCGCACACACATCCCTAAGCAGAGGTGGGATGAAAGGCCAAGTCCATCCCAATTAACACATTCAATTTGTTATTAGCTTCTTTATCTGTTCTAGAGAAAAATCTGCCAGGGGTCTCTTTTGTATATTAATCCTTTAGGGACCTAAAGCAGGACAATGCCTAGAAACTGATGTGTGCCTGTGTCTTGAGCTGCCTGAGTGATCCTAGCCCTTTGCTACTCCGTTCCTTCATCTGGAAAATGGACTAATCAGCCTGATTCACCCCACTGGGCAGGTAGCGGCTAACTCATGGCTACAGCATACTCTGCACGCCGAGTACCTTAGCAAAAAGGTGCAGATATGCTGATGTCATTTCCAAATTGCCAGTATCAGAAGGGAAATCACGGCAAGGATCGTAAGAACAGAACCTCAGGCCCGCAGAATGAGTTTGCATCCCGTCTTCCCTCCCACTGTTGCAGTAACAAATCAGGTGCCGGAGGAAAGCTGCACTGAAACGCATCTTCAGTGCTGAGGGACCAAATGGAATGTTTTACTGCATCAAATAAGGCCCAGCAATGTAATCAAGCACTTTCAAAGGGTTGTAAAATATCCTGGGAGAGCAAAGCAGGTTTCATAGGCTCTTCAACACCTCCCCAAAGGGCAACTGCTTGACTGGGTAAAGTCTCCCAACCAAAAAGAGGAACTAGGTCATGGTCTTTCAGAAAAGAGGCTGACAGAAACTTCTATCTAGACAGCTACCAGAAATAAGCAAGAGCCCTCTCCAGTCAAGAGGCCCCTGGACATCTTCTAGCTGGTACATGTGTGAAGTAGAAGTGGCCTTTGGAGTTGAGCCCAGGCATCATGTCCATGAAGACCAAACTCCCTGAGACCAGTCCACGTCTCCCATTGCCTTTCCTGGACTTTCCACAGAGCAGGGAAGAGTTTGCCACTGCACTCTCTTCCATGTGTTTTCTATCCACACATGCTGTGCTGTTGCTCCTTGCTAATCCATCCCCCATTTTTCTCCCAGCCCCCCCACCCTCTGGCCTCTGCTACCTTTCAACAACAACAAAAGAAAGGTTCTGGAGCCATGGAGCCAGTGTGCTGCCTTTTATGTCAGGGCAGCGGATGCTGCACCAGACAATGCCCAGTCTCCAGAACGAGCAGAGCCACTCGCATCGAGTGACTGGGGTCATGGAAGGGCTGAACACATTAACCACACACAAGCAACAGAAAGCTCATTCAGAGGCGAGCGACCAGAGGTCACCAGGGAGGCTCTGGCCGTTTGTTTTAATTGTGGGAGATGCCTTTCACGCATATTCAATCTCGCCCTGTGATTTATCACCTCCCTGGGTGTTTTAAGTGTTCTACTCCACTTCGCCAGCCCTGCATCTCCAAGGGGAGTCTGTGCAAATTGAAGATGACATTGGACTTTTATGTCTTCCTGAACCAAGAGGCGGCTACAGCTTCAGAACTGTCAAGGCTCCTCATTTGTGTTCTTCCACCAGCAGAAACCACAGCTAGACCCTGATGGCTCAAACCATTTACTAATAAAATAAGCTTTCTAAGCTCCGTGACCCCCATGATTTCCCATCTGTCGATTTCCTTGGAAATCCTGTGCTTCCTTGGAGATCAGGGGCAAAAAAACAATGAGCAGACCAGCTCAGGATTGGGGAGTGAAACCTGTCCCTTGAGAGGGAATGGAAGCAAGACCCTGAAACGTGCAAGCTCGAGGACTGCATTTTCACCTTCCAAGTGTGCAGCACAGCTGGCCACTGCTCACCTCATCGGCACTGTGGCTCTGAAGCCCACAACACCTGTGTCCCCCTCACCTCAGCCTCACTGCCAGATCTCCCTCACTCAAAAGATTCAAAGGCCAGGAACATGTGTCACTGTTGCTCTCACTGAGAATGAAATGCTAAGAACCTAAATCTAGGTTCTTAGGGGCAGCTTCTAATCAATAGGGGCCACTATGAGTCAGTTGCAAATGCCAAACCAGTTGCACTGATTATCAACTGGGGGAACAAAATGGAAATGTAGGGAGTTGAGATTAGCAGGAGGAGCAAAAATATTCCCTTGCAAACTCAAATGAGATAGTAAAAGAACCAGTGAAGTTAATTTTGGCTTTTTCAAAGTTTTTACCTCCAAACACATGGAAGTTAATTGCTGAGCTCTTATGGTGAACTATTTCCTGTGTAATTTAATCCTTATCACAATCCTGCAGGGTTAGGGACTGTCTTATTCACTCTTTACAGGTGAGGACACTGGGCTTCAAGAGAAAGAATTACAGAGAAAGTAAGTGGCAGAACAGTGGTAACCTCAGTTAACCAGACCAGACAGCCTCTTGGCATTCCCAAGGGAACATGGCAACCCCTGAACCCAAGGGTAAACCCCTGGAATTAGTTTAAGTGCTACTCAACCCCTGAGGGTACTTTGGAGACAGTGTCAGATACTGAGACCTCACGGTGAGGCAGAAGGGTACTGAAGGTGAGGAGGAGGAACACGCCTGCACTGTGGTAGCCAACTAGGTAGGACCATTCTTTTCTTGAAAGAATCTATGATCAGAAAACATGAAAAACAAAAGAAAAATCAATGCAGGCTGCTTTGAACCAAGACTAATAAGCTCTCAGCACACTGAAAACTCTCCAGTTCACTGCCAGCCTTCACATATCTTGTCCCAGACTTTGTAGATGGAGCTCTGCCCTTCACATGCTAGCTGGCCATGCTTCCAAAGCCCACAGTGGTGTTTCCCTTCAGCTAGGTTCTCTTTGGCCCGGACTGTGGCAGGCACAACCCCAGAGCTACCCCGGCACAGGCAGGGGGCTGCTTGTCAGGCATGGTCACTGGCCCCAGAGACCACTGAAGTCCAGACACTGGAAAGGGTATCAAACTTCATGTGTAGCAAAAACCCCATTATTTCATCTAGTGATCCTGAGATAAATCCAGCTGTATCAAAAGCCAAGTCCATGCTTTTATTAACCCTCGAATAATCAGAATTCTTGATTAACTGGAACCTGGCAGCCTACTTTGAAAACAGGTTTACATCAAGACGTTAAAAAAAAAAAAAAGGTTTCTATGAATGTCCTAGGAGCAGTACAAATTTGACTACAAATCAAACCTCATTTGTCTACAATAAGAACTCATTGAGAACTGACAGTCAAAATCAGGCCCCTGAAGAATCTAAATGTTCTGAATCATTACAGAAAGAAGAAAGATGAAATCCTATCAAGACAGAATGGTATGGTCATATGTGGGCATAGCTGACAGCATGGGCTGAGACAAAAAGGGACTTTCTGCTGGACCCTGTGCTAGCCACAAAGTGGCTCCACCCCATGGTCTTCTGGGCACCATGGGGTCACTACCTGAACCAATGATCTACCTGGCCTGCCCAATTCCTGTGTTGGCCATACTGCCCTCCTCAGGGCATGCACTGCTTGGTGGTGGGGTATTCGATGCCAACATTTGTTACAAAAACTGAAGAAAGAGGAGCCTAACTAAAAGCATCACACACAAATCGAGGTTCATGTTATGGTTTCTTGGAACCACTGACAGAATTCATCTTGTAATGAGACCCATCTGGGACTTTAATAGCTAACCTCTCTTGCTTGGATAACAACTGCAAATAAGATCTATCTTATGCCAGATCTCACTTTTTGGTAGAAAGCTTCCAATAAGCTTATTTTATCCTAATAGCAGAAACTGTGCCGAGGACACCAAAGGACACATCCTACGTGACTGTCAGGTGTCGGTGGATTCACTGGCTTGCATACTGCTGGGGATCAGGTGAGGAGCAGAGGTAGGATGTTATTACTGGGCATAATAAATTCTCCCTATTGCCGAGGCATGTTGGGAGGATGATGAACTGTTGCAAAAGGAAAGCAGCAATCATTCCATTAATTCACTCAACAACCAGACTGCTCATCTACTGGGTGCCGGCGACTGTCTCAATGTGAGTTCACACTGACCACAACTCTACCCCAGGCTGTGGGGGGTGCTGAAGCAGAGATGGCCTTTAGAGCACCAACAGGCAGATGGTCCCCTTAGATGGATTAGAAATCAGCCCGCTGTGCTGGTGGTTTGTTTTACTTGGAAAGAAAACAGATGTGTACAGAAAGGGGAAGCTCTAAAGGAAAATGAGGGAGTACAGGCAGCCCCTTCATTCTACCACCAGAAGTGGCCAGTATGACCGTGGGTCTTCAGAAGCTGTCACCACATGAAAGGTCTTGATCTTGAGTTAAAGACACCCAAATTTATCCCGTTTCCATGCTAGGGCTATTTATCTAAGGACTATGCCACTGGGACAAACGACTTTTAGACAGACCTCACTGGACAAGAAGCATAACCATCCCCAGCCCAACGATGACACAAGATGTGAAGAAGGACAGCCGGTCCTACAGCCCCATGACATGCTCTTCAGAATGAGACAGCCTTCTGGACCCCTGGAGGCTGGTCTGGCCCCACAGGGTAGATGCCTGCTCTCAGACTCAAAGCATGCTGCGGCCAGTACCCAGGCACCACCTGCCCTCAGGAGGGCTAGGCATGGCCCAGGGACAGAGACAGGCAAGCTCATGCATGGGTTAGTATCACAGAGGGTAGTACCATCACCACATACAGAGTACCTGGGAATAACCTACTTTGAGGGCTCAAATGCAGATAGGTCTTCTGCCTTGGGCTTGAGGCTAAACCAGCAAAATAAAATGAAGAAAAACAAAAACATACCCTGTGATATCAACAATGCCACATGTGCCATTTGCAAAATGCTCAGACAGGCCTGAAATTGTGACAAGTGACTTCATTTGTTTGTTTTTATGGCTTGGAAAAAGGTCTCTTCGGCTTTCAGCATTCCAGGTTCCTGTGGCTGAGGGCCCAGCTCACCGCAGCAGTAGAAAAAATGAGACTGTTCCGGGTGCCCAGATGAGGAACCAGAGACTGGGGTGCGGGGCCTGCAGCAGCTCCTTTGAGGACTGACTGGCTCACTAGCCCGTTGTCATTTTACCTCTCAGTTCCCTGGCTGAGTCCTCACTTTAGCTCTCCTTTTGCTAACTGTTTAATAATTTTGTTTTGGAAGGGAAACCCAGTAAATGACGGGAGCCAAAGGAAAGAAGAATGTGGAATGGGGAAAGGCCTATCTTTTTTGGTTATGCTATTAAAAGGAATTCTAAGGGTGCCTGGGTGGCTCAGTCAGTTAAACATCTACCTTTGGCTCAGGTCATGACCCCAGGGTCCTGGGATCGAGCCCCATGTTGGGCTCCCTATTCAGCAGGGGGCCTGCTTCTCCTTCTCCCCGCCCCCATCTTGTGCACATGCACCCCCCCAAATAGATAGATAGATAGATAGATAGATAGATAAATAAATAAATAAATATCTTTTTTTAAAAAAAGAAAAGAAAACAGATACCTGGGACACTACTTGAAAGACTGAGATAAAGAGTAAAAAATTAAACCTATTTAAACTATCATGATGGAAACTCAATGAACAGTCTGATTTTTTTTTTTTTTAAGATTTTATTTATTTATTCATGAGACACACAGAGATGTGTGTGAGACAGGCAGAGACACAAGCAGAGGGAGAAGCAGGCTCCATGCAGGGAGCCCGACGCAGGACCTGATCCCGGGACTCCAGGATCACGCTCTGGGCTGAAGGCAGAGGCTAAACCGCTGAGCCACCCAGGGATCCCCGAACAGTCTGATCTTAATGACACCTCTTTAACAGGTATGAGCCTGACCTGGGCCATCAGTTAGGAGCAGATGAGTGGCAGGAGAAGCCATTTCTGCTTTGCCCAACATGAGAGAGGTACACTCCTGGGCTGACATGTATCCCCAATGTTACCATCTCTAAAATTGCTGAAAGCTCAAAATATCAGTAGAAAACAATCTGAAACTGCTAGCAATGGAAATGAAGTCTCACCTTTTAAAACATTAAGGTTCTTCTAGACACTAAGTATGAAAAAAGTTAAAAATTCAGAATCTGGTTCCTTTAAAGCAAGAACAAAATTTTTTTATAGTCTTTGCCACTTAGAAACCCAAAAAGACTAGAGGAAGAGTCCATTCTCAATAGCTTCTGTTTCATTTTGCTTCTCTTGAAGTAAGGCAGCTCCCTGGGCAGAACTCCCCTTGGCTTAAAAGACAAAAATGCTTTACTGCTAAATGATGGATCAAAACCTGTCTCATAACAATGATTCATTTCATCAGAGCTTTTAACACAGGCTCCCCTTCCATCAAGCCAATGGGTTCACTGTCACTGGTGGATTAAATTCCCTTTCTGGCGTGAGTTAAACAATTTCCTCAACTAAGTATGCATAAAAAATAATAGTCTAATGACTCGGCTACTCAGGAAACCAGATGCCAACCTCACATTTCATTAATGAATGTCCTGATCAGCAAGACAGGAGACTTGGTACCTTTTTGATAGTATTGTGCTTGCTGCTGGTGCCACCCCGGTCAGAGTTCTCATTGTGCAGAATATCCAAGGCTGTCTCCCTCTCTTTGAGTTTCAAGGCCTCAATCTCAGTCTTGAGTTCATTGAGCTGCTCCTGCAAATGCTTGCTCTTCTCCATGTATTCCACTCTGCCGACAAGAGGACACTGTGTCATGGCTTTGGTGACAGTGAGACATGGGATCCAGGGTCTTGAAGCCTGGGGCCCACACCTCTGTGTAGCCACTCTCCGGCTGTGGGAGCCTGGACCGGTCACTTAACAGGTCTGAGTCTGTTTCCTCATCCATGATATTGGGATAATGCTCACAGGGCTGTGGTCAGAATTAAGTAAAATAAAGCACAGGAAAGCCCTCTGGTAAACCCTCATTAAGTGCTCTATGTTGCCCGTTACAATAGAAAGCTTTTAGTTCTGCACAAGTAATGACACATGAATCAAGACTCCTGGCATCCAAAACAATCTCCTTGTCTCAACCCTTCTTGGGTAAGTGATTCTATTCAAGTGACCTCTTCTGACAGGTACTGGCCATATCCCTACTTGTTTTGGGATGTCCTCTCCTAAAGAGGGTGGAAGCTCACTCAGCCAACACCAGGAAGAGAAAGATCCCCACCATGGTAGATACTCTGTATCTGTGATGGTGAAAATCTGAAAATTATCTTCAAGGTGTCCAACTTAAGGGCATCAGGCAAACCATGCAACACAAACACCAGGAACATTCTGTAGTGATTCCTACGGTTGGTATGTGGAGTCTGTTGTGTGCACTGATAATAAAAAACACAAACTACAAAAAAGCAGGACCCAGAACAGGATGTAGCCTCACTCCAATCACAACCATGAAATGCTCCCAATGCCTGGTCAATGGAGAAAGGCTGGAGGGGAAACTCGGACAGCAGATACCACAAATCGAGAGGCTCATGGTTGCTTACCCTGGGCTCCAGGAGACACTGTCCCAAGAGAGCTATCCCAAGGATATTGGACAAGGTGGGAGCATAGAGCCTCAGATAGGCTTAGAGCTGAATCTGGGTTCTGTCCCTCATCAGCTGTGTGATGCTGGCTGAGTTCATTAAACACTGTAGATCTGTGTTCTCATTTATAAATGGTACACTGAAACCTATCTCTGATGCCAGCTTGATGTTAGTGGGAATGAAATGAGACAAAGCTAAAAAGCCCTGACACCCAGGCATTCACTGTATGGTTCTCCAGAAAGCTGTGGCACAAATGGCCACTACCTATGGCTGGGAACCAGGAGGGGGCCTCAGGCATGTTTCTTCTGCAGTGAGAGTCCTTTCTGCCTCAGTTCTACCTCCACCAATCATGAAAGGAAGGAGGAGTACATAGCAGAAATTGCTATGAACAGGGCATGCAGGGCTCAGCTCAGGGCTGCCCCATATAGCAGTACTAGCCTGATGTGGACATTTGCTTTCCTTGGCCTTGAGCCTCAGTCTCTTCCCTTACCCTTGTTCTAGACATGGGAAGTACCACAGATCTCAACTGCTAGAGGATACAACTAGGAAACCTGTTATGTTACCATGTTAGAACATTATCACAGGCTTTATCACCAAGTGAACAGCAGTCAGAGAATTTATTCTGCTACTCAGAGACCCTTGACAACCAGTCCTAGACTATAGATGAGGTTGTAAACCACCATAAACTCCAGGTCACCAATTAAGGATCACTGTTATCCTGGAAGACAGAGTGATGGTGTGATGTCCTTCACTTCTGATTAGGAAATTCTTCCTCCAGAGGGAACAGAGCAAGCCCTGCAGAGCTAGTGATAGGCTCCTGCAGTGATCCTCTGTTTCCCCAGGCCCAGATAGCCTCACTCTAGCTCAGTGGCTGGGGGCACAGAGGTCAGAGGGACTACATACTTTTCTTTCTCTATCTCCATGGAAAGCCGCTTCATGTCAGTATCCTTGAAGTCGAAAGACAGGCTGTCACCAATGAGGTTGAAACTTGGTATGTCGGGAGGCAACGGTGCTGGAATTGGGTTCATGGGCTATGAATGAGAAATCTCCAGTTAGGACGGTCAGGTTCTATGAGAATGAGAACACAGGGCACTGCTGTGTTAACCACCGACCCTCCAGCAGCCACAGAGGCAATGGGCACAGCTCAGGCCCTTCCCCCCAGCACTACCACAGCCTCTTGTCAAAATAATCACCCCTGTCTCTCTTCCCCCAGTCTAGTCAAACTGGCTGCTGCCAGGTGATCAACCCCAAAGATCTCTAATCTAGGTAAATCATTCCTCTTCCCTTAAACCTTTAACAGCTTTTTATGCTCAGCCAAATTTAAACACAAACTCCCACTCACTTCTTTGTTGAGGCCCTGGGCTAGGAGGTGCAGATGCAGAGAACAAGAAAGAGTCCCTAGATCTGAGCAGCTGAAAGTATCATTCAGTAAACAGTGGTGCTCACAGATCATCATGATTAAGTAGGGTAGACACTGTAGCCAGGGAGTGAACAGTAGCCGAGGGAGCTGGAGAAGGTGTGCTAGAAAAGATGCTGCTTCTGCTGGCACCAGAGGATATGCCAGAGGAAAAGGCTTGCCAGGCAAGAGGCCTGGTACTGAGCAGGGCAGAGAATGCTCAGTGAGAATGCTGAGGGTCTGTAGTGCCAGCATAAGGGGGAGGGTGGGAGGCCGGGACCAGGCCATAAAGAGCTCCCCTGCATGCTAAGGGGGCTTGGAATTGGAAGGTGGAGCCAGAGTAAGGCTTGAAGCAGAGGATGAAAAGATCAGATTTGAGGACTTTCTCATCCCAGAACAATGGAACCAATCTACTTTAGCTTCTCCTACTGTTTGCCCTATCAGATCGTGAAGAGTACCATTTCTGTTCCTTTGCTTAAACTTGTATACACCTTGCTCTCCCCATATACGTCATCTTTTTTCCAAAGCCCTTCTCAAATACTAGGATTTCTCAACCAAAGCCTTTCTAGATCCCTCTCGGCCAGATGGCAATTCTTTTCTTTGCTATGCATTAACATTGTGTTTCTGGTTCTGTTATGGCACTACCCTAACTCCGCCCTGTGAAAATCCTTTTTGGCTGTGTCTTCTTTTACTGTTGGCAAGTTTCCTTTTTTTTTTTTTTTTAAAGATTTTATTTATTTTTTCATGAGAGACACAGAGAGACAGAGACACAGGAAAAGAGAGAAGCAGGCTCCATGCAGGGAGCCTGACGCGGACCTCGATCCCAGGATTCCAGGATCACACCCAGGGCTGAAGGCAGATGCCCAACCACTGAGCCACCCAGGCTTCCCTGTTGGCAAGTTTCCTAAGGGCAGGATCTGCCTCTCTTTCACCCTTGGATCCTTGGCTGAGTCTGGGACGGCGTCTGGGAAACAGTAGAGGCCCAGAGCACTCATCTGAGACGATGACAAGGCCTGAGGCAGACTGTCTGTGTGGGTGTTGAACGTGGTGCTGAGAGGGGGCTTCTGGGGGTACTAGAACATTCTGTTTTCTGATTTGGGTGTTGGGTGCATGGGTGTGTTGAGTTTATGAGAATTCATCAAGCTGTACAGTGATAATTTGGGCACTTTTCTGTACGTATGTTATACCTCATCAAAATTTCCGAAAAGATGGGTGCTGAATATTGCTCTGTGGGTGAGAACAGACACTGGTACAACCTTTGTGGAGCGGATCGCGATGGGAAACCTGACCCCACCGTTCTATTTATGACAATTTATTCTGCCAGTACATTTACCATATGCGTGAAGATTTGTGCTCAGGGATATCTTCCGCAGTTTTGTTCACAACTGCAGAAGAAAACAGAATAAATACCCATCCATAGGGGCCTGCTTAAATGAATTACAATCCATCCGTACCACGAAATATGATTCAAAGGCTGATACAGATGTGCTCTTCCAGGACTTATTATTTTTTTTTTTTCTAATTTATGATAGGCACACAGTGAGAGAGAGAGGCAGAGACACAGGCAGAGGGAGAAGCAGGCTCCATGCACCGGGAGCCCGACGTGGGATTCGATCCTGGGTCTCCAGGATCACGCTCTGGGCCAAAGGCAGGCGCCGAACCACTGCGCCACCCAGGGATCCCTTCCAGGACTTATTTATTTACTGTTTGAAGAATGTATAAAGTTTGCTCCAGTGTAGGTTTTATTTATTTATATATTTTGAAAAATTTTCAGTTATCTCTATACCCAACACGTAACTCAAACCTGCAATCACGACATCAAGAGTCTCATGCTCTACCAACTGAGCCAGTCAGTCGCCCCGTTCCAGGATACGTTTTAAAACCACGTGCATGGGGATCCCTGGGTGGCTCAGCAGTTTGGTGCCTGCCTTCGGCCCAGGGCGTGATCCTGGAGTCCCGGGATCCAGTCCTACATCAAGTTCCCTGTATGGAGCCTGCTTCTCCCTCTGCCTGTGTCTCTGCCTCTCTCTCTGTGTGTGTCTCTCACGAATAAATAAATAAAGTCTTTTAAAAATAAATAAAAATTTAAAAACCATGTGCATCTCAGGTACCCAGTCCAGATGAGCCCTCCAATGACTCCGGTCCTGGCTGCTCTGCAACTGCCTGAGGAAGGACCATTGGCCCAATCAATCCACCAAGCCATGAGAGAGAATGAATGGTTGTTTTGAGCTATACGGCTGGCTTGGGGTGGCCTGTCACACAGTAATAGATACCAGAATAGATGACAATAGCAGACTGCCCAAATTTCCCTCCCCCTCAGACCCTGGGCTGTTCATGTCTCTGTGCCCTGTGTGCCTCTTTGCTGCGTGTATGAGTGTGCAATGCATGCATCTGTGCCCTACGCACATCTGTGCATTGGCTGAGAACACCATGGAGTCTCTTTCCCACCCAGCTAGTTCCTACTTACCCTTTAAGAGCCAGCTCAGGTGCTGTTCTATGTGCCTAGTGTCCCTACAGGCTGGGCTACATTCTCCTCTAGACTCCTGTACACCCTGTCTGAATACAGACTCTAAAGCTGCCTGGTATTATGTGGAACAGAACAGTTTGCTGAAGTGTATGCACAGAGGGAGAGAAGGGAAGGGAAGAGATGTTTCTATTCATCATGTGACCCTATTTAATTGAAGTCTGCCTCCTTGTCCCAAAATGAGTTTGGAAACTGGTTTTTATGTGGCAATAGTTCACTCTGCAGTATACAGAATACCCCTGCCCAGAACGACAAGGCTGGTGTATGGCATACACAGGCAGCTGAAGATTACATTCAGCTTGGCATCAAGAGGCTAACCTCTCTTGAGGATAATTTGGGACTATATTACTTAAAATAAGAAAAACATTGCAGAGCTGGGAAAGGCCCTACTGCCTGCTATCTACGCAATCAGAGAGGTGACTGGTCCAAGGCCAAATGGCAGACCAGGTATTCTACCGAGCGAGGCTCCAGCTGCAGGCCCTTGGCATCACTCATTCTGCTGGGGCACCCCCAGGGGAACCAAAGGGTTGAGAGGGAAAGGAAGGCTATGCGGTCTGAAGCAGCTGCAGGTTGGCAGCCCCCAGCCAGGCTCACCGGGTATGTGGGCTTGGTGGTGATTTCCAGGAGCTTTTGCTTGGCTCTTCGCTCTGCTTCTCGGGCTTCCTGCAGATCCTGCTTCAGCTGATCTGCCTCCTTGGCCCTGCAAGGAAAGGAGGGAGCCAGCTCAAAAAGGAGACAGATAGACGAAAGAGAGCCCTTTCCCCTGGAGGTTAACCCCAAGGATGGCACCAGATCAGGCAAACAAGACCATGGGTTGGGGTGGAGGGGGACACATTATGTGAAAATCAGAACTTCCAAAGCAAGGACAACATTCCTGAGTAGTGTTCATTGCAATGGTAAATTTAAACCAGAAGAACAGGGACGTCAGTGGGAAGGAGTCAAGTTCAAACCTTTGCAGTTGGTAGAGAGGGAGCAGAAGTGGGGCAGGGGCTAGCAGCTTCCTCTGCTTCACTTCTGGGTGAGAGTAGGCTGGGCAAAGGTACAGTATGGTGGCTCAAAAGTCTTATAATGGATCATGGAGGGCAGGATGTGAGAGAACTGCTTCTTCACCGCCCCCAAGTAAGACAACTGCAGGCTTGGGGCCAACCTTAGGCAAGAGGACGACGAGCACCAACACTGAGGGCCTCACCCTGCAAGACACAGGACCCAGGGGGCCTGGCCCAACATGAATTAGTTAATGGGGGGAAGGGACCTGCACAAAGAAAGAAAGGGGCCCAGAACAGAGCAGGAAACAAAGAATCATATTCCCAGAAAGACATGCAGAAAATGGAGAGGAAACTGTAGCGAATGCACCTTGGTAGCAAAAAGCCAAACTCAAGTGTTCTAAATCAATAGAGCCAAATGCTGGGGAATGTGCCAGCATTTATCTGAAGGCTGCAATACCAGAACAATCCAGAGCCTAGAATAGTCTTTGGAAAGTAGAGACTACAGTTCTACCCTTCAACTTGGTCATGAGCTGGCACATCCTGACCACAGACAGGATCCTGGCCCTCCCCTCCTATCTGCCTCAGGAGCCTTAGCACCAAGAAGGGCTGCAGGGAAGCAGGTTCCTCATTACTTCTTTAAAGGTAAATAGCTGCTGTTTCCCCACATGTCCCCTACATGAAAAGGGAAAAGAATCACATTTTTTAAATATAAGAAGAGCCTCCTGATAGCTCCTCAGCTGAAGGCAGCCTGTGGCCATGCTTAATGGCTTTTCTGCACACACGACTACCAGAGGGACAGTAGTTTATCACAGACACAAGCATGACCAGAGGTCCGCTCAACAAGAGAACTGGGCTCCTGAGCCTTTCTGCTAATTCCAGCCCCCAAACTCCACACTGGCTTAAGCACCAGTCCTCACTAACCTGTCTAGGGAGGAGCCTCCCCCTTGCCCCAGAAGATGGAGAAGCAGCTTACGGACAGGTGCAGTCAAGCTCTGCCTCGGGCCCAGGTTACAACTGAACAGCCCCTCACCTGGGTCCCAGTGTCCAGACTCCCCACCTCTAACCTCCTCTCTGACTCCTCAGCCATCTTCAGCGCCAGCACCTCAGCCTCTAGCACCTTCTGCTCCATCAGGCGCTTCTCTTCCTCTGTCCGAATGGCTGTGGCCTTGATGCGCTGCATTTCCTGTTCAGCCTCTGCGGCCTTCTGAGCCAGGAGTTTTGCCTCCTCCTCAGTGATTTGGGCCTTTTCTGCCAACAGGTCAGCTGTCTCCTCAGACCGCATCTGGAGAGAAGAGCGCTATCAGCTGGAATGGGGACCACATGCTTGTCATCCCACCCAGATCTGGACTCAGACACTCAGGTCAGTGAGAATGAGAGTGTTGGACTTCCTGGGGTCCTGCCACTGAATGTCCCATCAGATGACACTGATGCAAGGAATGACAAGACATACCCTCAACATTTTGGAAAGGCCCTTCAGGTTCTACCCATGGGGAGCAAAAAGCAAGCCTTTTTGAGTACCCATGTGAGCTGAGGCTTATGCTTTATGAGGGAGAAAACCAACTTTACCTTGTTCTTTCCTTTTAAATCAGTGGTTCAAACCAGCAGAGACTTTGCCTCCTGGGAGACAGGTAACAATGTCTGGAGACATTTTTGATTGTCACAAATTGGGGGTGAGGTGGTGCTGTAGGCATCCAGATAGGGGTCAAGGGCACTGCTAAACATCCTCTGATGCACAGGATAGCTCCCACCATAAAGGGTGATCTGGCCCCAGGGCTGGCTGAGAAGCCCTGCTTTAAAGGTGAGCTCTAGTGAAAGTGGGGCTTGGTGGCACATGAATTCCACCTGGGTCTGCTTCCACAGACATAAGTAGAAAGAAAAGACACTGATTTTTTTTAAAAACTGAAATGTCAAAGTGATTGTTACTAATCTGCAAACGTCAGGAGGCCTAACTCTCAAAACCTGCTCAAGTCCCCATGCAGCCTCCTGGGGCCCAGACCCCCCAGCAATCACCAGAGCTTCATTGGCCATTGTTGCTTCTTCTTTCATCTGCAGCAGCCTCCTCTCCAATTCATCCCTTGTGCGCTCTGCCTCCTCCCTCATCTGCTTCTCTCGAGCAAGGCGCTGCCGCTCCATCTGGGGGCCAATGACAGCAGCCACTGAGTCATGGGGCCCATGCTTATGGTGCCACAGGGGTCCAAGGACGCCCAGTGTCTAGAGTACCCTCAAGGAGACCCTCTTTCCTCCCCTTTCCTTTAGGTGGCCGGTGTCATTCTTGTTACCCGCCACCCTCTTTCCTTCGAAACCAGCTGCAGGATCGAAAGCTGTGTCCCTTGAAACAACACCTAGAGGTGAGGGAACAAACAAAACGACAGAAAAGCAAGCCCTGCCAAGTCTACCTGGATTGAAGGAGGCATTTGCACACATCATGTGCTGAAATGGCCACCCTGTCAATAACCCTTTTTGTTGGTAGACCTCACATAGCTCTGCCCTGCAGTGGACAAGACACAATACAAGTTCCTTCTCCCAGAGACGGAGCGCCAGAAACCAACAGCTCTCCTCTGTTTGGATGAGCACCACCCCCCGCCGCCACCATGTCATCCACACAGACCCCACCCACATCTCTAATTTCTTTCTTTTTTAAAAAGATTTTATTTATTTACCCATGAGAGACACAGAGAGAAAGAAAGAGAGAGAGAGGCAGAGACACAGGAAGAGGGAGAAGCAGGCTCCATGCAGGGAGCCAGACGTGGGACTCGATCCTGGGTCTCCAGGATCACGCCCTGGGGTGAAGGCAGCGCTAAACTGCTGAGCTACCCGGGCTGCCCCCACATCTCTAATTTCATCCACAGTTGCTTGTGCCTCTGACCCAAGAAGATGGAAAGGCTCTGCGTGTGAGGCATCGGTAGTTCACACATTGTGTGTCACAGTTGGGGGGGTGGGGGGTGCTGCAGTGCCACGGCACAGGCGCCCAGCCTCATGCAGGGGCAACTCCCAGCCAAGCTTGCAATGGGAGGGAGCCAAGCAAGGAATGCAGCCCTCACTCCTCCGTCCTTAAGGCACCAGTACAAAGCCGATGCCACCTCCTGTGCCTTCGGGATCACTGTATTAATTGGGCCACATGCAGAGCCTAATAAGGGAAACAAGCACAGGACAAGTGCTATTCTCTGTGATCCTAGGGTATTAACTGAGTTCAAAAAGCGAAGCCAGAAGTGACCACTGCACTATTTTCTTCCTTAAATAGAGCACATTTATTTATCTCTTACTTCAATCTTCTCCCAAACATAAGATTTTTAAGACTGCTGCTTTTTCTAAATACTGAGCCAAAAAGAAAAAAAAAAAGGCACTGGGCCTCGAAAGAATAATGCAAAGACAAGCAATAAAATACTGTAAATTCTTCTCCAATTTTCCTCTTGCAGGTCAGTGAAAACCTTGGCCAATTTGTTCTCTAATTTCCACTGCATTACAATTTCCATTAGGTAGATTACTGTTTCTCCGTTATTCTCCACTTGAAAAAAAGCCCAGGCAACCACCTTCTCTTCCCAGCACTGCACTTTCCAGAGACCTCCACCCAATAATGAGGGACCACCTGTTTGCAAGGTGGTTTAAATTCACAAAGGCTTTTAGGTACAATGTGTCCTTTGATCTAAGACAGAGAAGACATACCATTAGTTCCAATGGACAGGTGAGAAAATTGAGGTCTGGAAGGTAAGTCATTTACTAACATCACATACTAAGTTTCACATCTAGTTCCAAGGTCAGTGTCTGTACCACTGGGCCACAAAGCCCCTGGCCTGTGGTTGCCAGATGCCAGGGACATGTCTCTGCCATTCTATAGGCCATGCAGGTCCAAGGTGTATGCATGTTATTCTCTGCCACAGCCCTGAGGCCTCCACACTTATTGACGTTTTCAGATCTCTCGCTTGTAAGCTTTCCCCAGCTGAAAAGAGGCCTAAGACCCATGCTGGCTCAGGAGCATTTGTCCGATACAACCCATTCCACCACTGTGGCCCTGAAAGCATCCCAAACAGCTCATCTATAGTCTGCCGTTTCATAAAGCAAAGAGACGGAACACTGAAAGCATGCTGAATCAAACTGGGCATTTCATTCTAAATCTCAGGGCAGGGAGCCAGCCTTGCTGGAGCACCCACATCAGAGAGCTGCACACAGACTAATGATTACACCTCTGAGCCTGCAAGTCCTAAGGGCAGCTGACTGCAGCTACTGCTACTCCATCTAAGAGTTGGTCCAAAACCACAGTGGGTATTCTCAGCAGTGAGGCTCACATTAGTTTTATGGATTTCAGTGAGTCGAAATGGTTTATGAGTAGAAAACAACGAGGCAGACTGTCCAGTCTGCCGATAAGTGCTCCGGGCACCTCCCGCCACAGGCAATGTGCTGCCTGGGCTGACCTGTGGTGGGGAAGTGCAGCTGAAGTCTAATTAGCATTCCCGCAGCAGCACAAGACGCTGCCATGCATTCTATCACCATCTAATTAGAAGAGGACAAGGCTGGGCAAAGGAGACAACCAGACAAAACGAAAGTAAGCCAGGTAGGTGGACGGACAGATGGGCTCAGGCTTTGCCTATCTCTTCCCAAACATGCATTAATCACACCTCACTTACTTAAGTGGGGAAATAACTAGAGATGTTTCTTTTAGATATGCTATTGGAGTTTATTCCTCATTTCCAGAGCGGACACCCCACTGGCAGGGCATCAGCCAGTAAAGATCCAACAGAAATAAAATAAGAGAAGGTGGCCAAACGACATTTGTCAGCCCACGACTGCTCCTTACCTTCTCAGCTAAGACCACAAAGGAGTGACAACAGTGGTTCAGACACATTCTTGCTCACCTGCTTTCTAGCCTTCTCCTCCCTGGCCTGGGCTTTCATCTGCTGAACTTCCAAAGAATCAGCCTTCCTTCTCCTCATGAAAAGGTCATGGTTCCCAATACAGAGCTGGAGAATCTGTGTTCACAGAAGCAGTAGAAATGTTAAACCCATAAATTTACTTCACTGCTTACCAGCTCACCAGTGCTACAGAATCTTGGTCTTGGGCTCTTGAGGGCAGCAGGAAACCTGAAAAGTAAAACACAGACTGAAACACCATGGCCCTCCCTACTAATGGCCTCCAGTGCTCTCTGCTTTGGAAATAGGCAAAATGGAGGTGCCTCAAGTATGCCAGGGGGCATATATCACAAGTTAAGAGAGGAACAGATGACACTTGGGCATGTCTTCTGGATCCATCTCATTCTCCTAAGATGTGGCTCTGCAAATTAGGGAGGATAGGAAAGCTCATGCAATAGGTAGGGCTGTGACAAAAAGTTATTCACGTGGAAAAAAAGAAGCAAGATCCCTCCCTTATATCATACTCAAAAATCAACTCCAGGAGGATTAAAGACTTAAATGCAAAGATTGAATCCTTTAAATTCTTAGAGGAGAATATAGAAAAATATCTTTATGATATAGGATATCAGATAAGACACAAGTAGTACAAATGATTAAGGAAAAGATATATACATTTGTCTATATTAAACTTAAACATTCTTTGTTAAGACATTAAAAAAGGAGGAAAAGTATGCCACAAGCTGGGAAATGATAGAACCAGTAAAGAATACAAACAACCCAGAGAATAATAGCCAAAGGACATAAAACAAGTATTCAACAAAAAAGACAAGCTTGGCCAAAAAATATACAGAAAGATGCTCAACTTCATTAATAAATATAAAGATGCACATTAGTATGACATTGAGATACAATTTCATACACACAATAGTGACAAAAAATTTTAAAGCCGGATAATATAAAGTGAGGAAAATATAAAGCAAAAGGAGTTGCACCCACTGCACTGGGTCTGTCAATTAATTCACCTTCTTTGGAAAACAACACGGTGTAATCTTGAATTTGGACATACACTACAGACCTGCGACTTGTACTCCTAAGCAGATATTCTCTAGAGAAACTATTGTCTGTGTACAGCAGGAGGCAGGTACAAGAATGCTCACAACAGCCTTATTAAAATGGCAGAGAAGTAGATAGCATTTAATTATTCATTAATAGGTAAATGGCACACACACACACACGAAGATTAATAGCAGTGAAAATAAAGGGCTCATATCTTGAAGCATCAACACAGATACATCCTAGAAAATAATGTTATATTAAAAAAAGTGACAGAACATAGACAGTTGACAGCACTTGGTAAACTTCAAAAGTTCACAAAACTTAGTAGTGTTTTCATTTTGCTATATGTGAAGTCAAGTTCTGAGGAAAAGCAAGTGAATAATAGACACACAGCTCAGAATGGTGATCACTCTTTGGAAGGAGGGCGGGGGAAACCAACCAATAGGATGTTAACATGAGGGGTTTAACAGTATTAGAAATGTGCTGTTTCTTAATGCTAGGTAGTGGATACGTAGCTATTTATTTTTGCCTCTCTTTATACCTTATATACACATTATACTTATCCTTTTATATGTATAAGGTACCTCCATAAAAATAATTTTTAAAAACTCCACATCACAAAAAGTTTAGGTTTGACTTGTTAGGTTATGCTAAAGGGAAGAGTCTTTGAAGGTCTGTTGGCAAAGTGTATAGCAAGTGAACTATCATAAGAGGTCACTCCAATAATCTCTCAAAAAAAGGCACTCGGGGGATGCCTGGGTGGCTCAGTGGTTGAGCATCTGCCTTTGGCCCAGGGCGTGATCCTGGAGTCCCAGGATTGAGTCCCACATCGGGATCCCTGCGTGGAGCCTGCTTTTCCCTCTGCCTAAGTCTCTGTCTCTGTCTCTCTCTGTGTCTTATGAATAAATAAATAAAATCTTAAAAAAAAAAAAGGCACTCGGTTTTCCAGAAAAACTACAGTTATCAGCAACAAAACCCAGGATCCACTTACCAGCTTATTAACACGAAGCTTTGAGGAGTTGAATTTGAAGACATCGATTTTCTTATCCAATGGTTTAATAGTAAACTGAAAAAAGGAAGCAGAAAACAGTTTCAGTCTCACAGCTTAGAGTGTTAGCACCAACTGGGAAATTCCACAAAAGCAGCAACTACACTGGCAAAGATCCAGCAAAAGGCTATGCTTTGTCCTAGCTTCCTGGTGCCCAGGCACTAAACTATGGTGAATTATAAGTAGCTGAGGGCGCCAAGTCTCCGGCTGTGGAAGTTCAGGATCCTGGAAGGTATGTTGTCAGCACCATCTTAGGCTTGGAAACCTGAAATGCCAGCCCTCGATGGGCCACACCACAGGACCAATACTGGGAAGCCGGCTGTAGAGCCATGTGCTCAGTTCTGCCTTCAGGAAGCTCACTACCTAGCTGGAACTAAACTAGTGACAGTCAGTTACTGGAGAAATTATATCATCTATTGTGCCTCATTGGGTGGCACAAATCACAAATGTCATGGGGGTTCAGAGTAGATCCACCTTAAGTAGGAGGGGAACTTCAGCAGGTCATAGACAAAGAGTATGTATGACAGGGAAGCTAAAAGGCTGGACATAAGGCCATTCAAGACAGGACATGCAAAAGAATGAGGCAGAGATCAGGAAATGACCAGTGTGTGTGTGTGTGTGTGTGTGTGTGTGTGTGTGTGTGTGTCTGACATTATTAGCTCTCTGATGACTAAGATGATACCATGAGCTCATGAGCTCAGACTGGGAGGAAAGCAGGGGTGGGCTGCAGGTAGACAGTCAGAGGAGGTGGGGTTTGATGTGGCACCATACAGATCATCACTATGGGTTTCTGAATGTGGGGATTATCAGCTGAAAGCTGTTCATAAAAGGAATAAAGTGTGAAGAACAGACCATGGAAGAAGAGGGTAACAGTTCCTGAAATCAAAGGAGAGAGAAAGCTGAGTGATAAGGATGGGCTTGGTAGCAAGAAAGGAGATGCCAGGCCAGACCACTAGGCAGGGAAGCATATAAAGAACAAATGGTATCACTGTTCACAACTGTTCCTGATCAGACCAGACAGATCCGCAATTTCAGATGCACTTAAAAAATGGGTATCTATTCCCCAGTAAGTCTTGCTAAGCAGACAAATGTTTGGGAATATAAACTCTAGGGTATTTCTTCCTCATGTTATTTTGTCTAAGGAGCAGTTAGCACACTGAGGAAAATGATCGTTGGGTTAGCTTTTGGTCAAACTAACTGAGAAGCACTATTGTTCTTGTGGAGGCTGCTATTTGAGAATTTTGTGAGCTTATTTTTGGCTTTGAAGTCAAACCCAGGAACTGTCAGTGGGAAACCACAAGTAGTGGGGAAACCACAGGCTCTGCGCTGTGCTGGGATGCACACAGAGAATCAATGGATCACTTAAAATAAACCAACATTTCTGTTTTGACAGCATGGCTGTCATGCATAACTACTAAGACTACTTCCTATTATGTCAAGTCAGCTTGAGGTCCTCTTACTGCATGAGTTATTGACATGATGGAATGTGATAGCACCCTGCCCCTGGAGAGGGTATATTAAGAGTTTATTGTACCAGGCCATACTAGGGGAGACTTTAATCCTTGGGTTCTGTGAAAAACGAGTGTTTTGGGAGCCTTTAGCACACAAACGTGTGGATATGCAGTAAACAGACTTTATGAAATTAGAGATGAAAAACTACCATGCCATAGCATACCTACTGCTTTAAGTCATGTGGAGCTTTTAATTTAAGTCTTTAAAAAAGAAATACCTAAATGCTCCTCTTCTGGGCTACTTACAGAAAATTTGAAAGCCAGAATGTTTTGAATTAAGAAGCTCAATCTGTCTCATCGAGCATGGCCGAGTAGATCTCAACCATGTTATTGGAAACCAGGAGCCTGGTGTTCCCTTTCTTGAGTTGCTATTAGGGATGGGAAAACAGGAAATCTGCTCAGGGTGGGGGCTCTGCAGGCAACAACATGAGCCATCACTGTTCCTCACTCCACACTCTGCTTCCCAACTGTGCAGGCACCAGCAACTGAGCACTGTCTGGGCCTGCGCCTTCTGTCCAATGTCCTGTGCTCTCAGGACTCACCCTCAACACCCCCTACCAGAAAAACACCTCCCCACCCTTGCCAGGGCTATGGCTTCAGGAAACATAGAGCTCAGCCCCTGCTATTCCCAATCACAGCTTACCTGATCCCTCTGCATCTCTGCTTCCTTATGTGACACAGATACCCCAAACCTGACCCCTACTCTTATATGTTCTCAGGAGGAGGGAATCAGAATTGAGGCGAGAGTGCTCATAAGTGGAAAAGCGAAAAAGCACTGGATCATCCTCACTGCAGGTCTGTCTTACAGCAGCCAGGCCCTCGCTTGACTATAACTTCCCTGAGGGCTGAGACTGGATTTTCTAGATCTTTGTTTCTCCTATGAAACCTAACACAAAGCAGATCCTTGATAATTCCTTTGAAACTATCATAAGTGGAAAAGCGAAAAAGCACTGGATCATCCTCACTGCAGGTCTGTCTTACAGCAGCCAGGCCCTCGCTTGACTATAACTTCCCTGAGGGCTGAGACTGGATTTTCTAGATCTTTGTTTCTCCTATGAAACCTAACACAAAGCAGATCCTTGATAATTCCTTTGAAACTAACAAAGAACGAACTAGTGAACAAACAAACATAAGATTACAGTGTTTGGGAAAGGTCACCATCCTATATAGAAATATCTGACTTCTAACTTAAAGTGTTCAGCTAAGTTATCCAAATTTAATTATTCTCAAATTCTCACAAGCAGTTAGTTCTGATATTCTTACTTAATTATCACTGAGACACACACACACACACACACACACACACACACACACATATGGGGAGCTAAATGGATATCTATCCCCACCACATGTATCTTCAAGCACTGGACACAGAGAGAGAGGGCTTAATGCCTACTATACTTAAAAATACAAAGAGAATTTCTCTCTAGAAATAGAAAGCCTAGTGTAATAAGAAGAGGTTACTTTCTGGATTGTTTACTATTCTTTGGAGGTAAGTCTTGACAAGTTGAGCTCCCCAGCCTCTTGTTAGTCAGCAGGGGGGTTTAGGGATGCCATTTGAAAATAGGATGTTAACAGAAAACAAAAACCAAAAACCCAAAGCCTGGGGATTAAAGGATTTTACTGGTAACAAGGAGAAGTCTGGCTCGGGACCACTACAGCAAGGAGGAGAGAGGGGGAAAGTCCATAAGCTGCGTGACTGGCACATCTGCATGCGAAGCATGTCCTACCTCCTTGTCGCTGTATGAGATATTACGGATTTCATTCCATGGGAAGGAGATCTTGGGGGTCAGCCTGTTCTCAGGGTCATAGATGTGAAGCCCCAGAGCATCCACTCCAAGCAGCAACTCGGTGCCCTTTTTATTCTGTAGATTGAACAAAGATCAGTCACTATCAGCACTGGTGGAAGTTTAAAATTTTATTCAACTTCCTAAAGAAACTGGCATACACTGTTATATCTGACGAGTTCCAACAGGCCTCAACAGAAGTCACAGCTATTGTGTAACCCAGGGGGCCCCCAGCTTCCTAAATTGGGGCAGGCAGAGGCAAAATACAGTTCTCAGGGCGCATGTCCCAGAGACGGGTCACTGGGACCTTCTGTTACTGGCTCGATGGCTAATATAGCAGCAATCTAAGCATTGTTACCTTCAATTAAATACTGTAGTCATCCCCTGCCCCCCTTCATCTGTGGTTTTGCTTTCTACAGTTTCAGTTACCAATGTCTGGAAGCAGATGATCCTCCTTCTGAACTACCATTAGGTCAGTAGTAGCCCAATGCTACATCACAACACCTAGTGATTCACTTTACTTCGTCTCTTCATGTAGACATTTTATCATCTCACATCATCATAAAAAGAGTGAGTACAGTACAATAAGATGTTTTGAGAGAGAAGGAACATGTTCACATAGCTTTTATTATAGTATACTGTTATAACCGTTCTTTTTTTGTTATTATTGTTATTACTCTCTTACATTGTGCCTAATTTATATATTAAACTTAACACAAGTATACATATTTTAAAAAAACATATTATAGTATACATAGGGTCTGGTATTATCCACGGTAGCAGGCATTCATGGGGGGGTCTTGGAAAGGTACCTCTGTGGATGAGGGGGAACTATTATAATCAGGTTATCATAGATGTAGAATAAAAACCTGTAGGATTAAAAAACAAAAACAAAAACAAAAACCTGTAGGATTAAACATCTCTTACATTAAAAGAAAACGTAGCTGTACTACCAGAAGGAGAATTCTTTTTTTTTTTTTAAGTAGACAACATGCCCAGAGTAGAGCCCAACGCAGGGCTTGAACTCATGACCCTGAGATTAAGACCTGAGCTGAGATCAAGAGTCTGACACTTAACTGAACCATCCAGGTGCCCCACTAGAAAGAAAACTCTAAGTGCTGGGATCAAAGGGTTTTCTTTTTTTAAAAAAAAGAATCCTATTTATTTACTCATGAGAGACACAGAGAGAATGAGGCAGAGACACGGGCAGAGGGAGAAGCAGGCTCCCTGCAAGGAGCCCGATGTGGGACTCGATCCCGGGGCCCAGGATCACATCCAGAGCTAAAGGCAGATGCCCAACCTCTGAGCCACCCAGGCGTCCCCAAATGGTTTTATTGTATGTTAAAATGTATTCTTAGTGTGATAAAGCAAATATAGTAAAATGTTAATTATAGAACCTAGACAGTGGGTATATACGGATATTCACTGTAAAATTCAACTTTCTTATATGTTCGAAATTGTTTATAATAGAATATTGGAAAAAATTTACCAGAATGAATTGTATATAAAAACCTCAGGGTGCCTGGGTGGCTCAGTCGGTTAAGTATCTGAATCTTAGTTTTGGCTCAGGTCATGATCTCAGGATCCTGGGATCAAGCCACAGGTTGAGTTCTATGCTCAGTGGGGAATCTGCTTAAGATTCTCTCCCTCTAGGGATCCCTGGGTGGCGCAGCAGTTTGGCGCCTGCCTTTGGCCCAGGGCGCGATCCTGGAGACCCGGGATCGAATCCCACGTCGGGCTCCCGGTGCATGGAGCCTGTTTCTCCCTCTGCCTGTGTCTCTGCCTCTCTCTCTCTGTGACTATCATAAATAAATAAAAATTAAAAAAAATTTAAAAAAAAAAGATTCTCTCCCTCTTCCCCCTTCCCACCCTTCCTCAAATAACTAAATCTTTTAAAAAAGAAACTATACCTCAATAAAGTTTTTTGAAATGTTAACTGATTGTACATATGTTGGTTGGCAGTCAGAGTAGACATAGAGCAAGTGTCCTGGACCCCCAGATCACTGACCCAGCTATGCACCTGGAAGCTACATCCTCAGGCTGAAGGCCCATACACCTGCACTGTGTGGTGTGGCCTTTGTGTGGTAATAGAAGGAAGCTCCCTGTACAAGGACTTAAAGCATCTGACCTGTTGCTGACAACTAGGAAACTGAACCAGACTCAAGGGCAGGAAAATAGGTCTGCAAACCGAGAAGGTGCTCAGACTGTGATAAGAAGGACCAATCTAACAATAGGTGTCAGGTGGACAAGTGAGTGCTCCAAGATAAATCTTTTTACTCCTTCAAAAGCCCCCAAGTCCGGTGCTATTACCAAACCTTGAGAGAGATTCCTCTGTTTGTCTGCAAAGCTCTTAAAACTACTGCACTAACACAAGTGAGTCTTTGCTTTTTGTTTTGTTTTTTTAAAGATTTTATTTATTCATGAGAGACAGAGAGAGAGAGGCAGAGACACAGGCAAAGGGAGAAGCAGGCTCCATGCAGGCAGCCCGACATGGGACTCAATCCCGGGTCTCCAGGAACATGCCCTGGGCTGAAGGCAGGCGCTAAACCACTGAGCCACCCAGGCGTCCCACAAGTGAGTCTTTGTACTTTTAAGTGCTGCGGTACATTTTGGAAAATGACATAATTCATTATGTTTGTAACTAGTTTAAATTAAAAAAAATAAAAAAGGATTCTACCCTCTGCTTCCTATCATGACTCCCAACACTTCGAGAGAATAAACAGAGAGAGGCAGGACTCAAGCAGTCTCTGTTAAATTGTTTCAAGCACATAATTTTCTTAGTTGATGGTGAAATCAGGGGAACTTGAACACAAAAGACACTAAAATATCCATTAGCCATGTCTACTGCGTAATACAAAACACATACACACACACAATTGTGTATTTTAATCTGCTATAGAAATATTTCCTAATAAGAAACTTTTTTTAAGGACTGTAAAACACTATTTTTCTAGTATCTAGATGGTGGGCATATGGGCCAAGAGGAATTAAGTGGCCAAAACCACAGAAATGTGTTAAATTAGTCTGACCTTAAACAAACCAGACAATCAGCAGATAAAAATTAATAAAACTTAAGAAAGTAACCTTTTGCGTTAATATAGAAAGTCTTTTAGGCACTTGTTTACTATATGAAATAACAGAACTTGCCAGTATAATTTTATACAAAGCAATCCATTAAAAATTTTGTATTTAAAAAACAAATCAGGTAGAAAGCTATCCTACATTATTTAAAATGTATTATAATTGGATCCCTGGGTGGCGCAGCAGTTTAGCGCCTGCCTTTGGCCCAGGGCGTGATCCTGGAGACCCGGGATCGAATCCCACGTCGGGCTCCCAGTGCATGGAGCCTGCTTCTCCCTCTGCCTGTGTCTCTGCCTCTCTCTCTCTCTCTCTCTCTGTGTGACTATCATAAATAAATAAAAATTAAAAAAAAAACTAAAAAAAAAATAAAGTATTATAATTTACTTAAATTGCATACAAAATTTATAGGAACCCAAAAAAGGAAAGCAAACCATAATTATGGTATGAAGGGTGAGCCACTGAAGCGCTGGATGGCTCAGTCAGTTAAGTGTCTGACTTCTGATTTTGGCCCAGGTCATGATCTCAAGGGTCCTGGGATTGAGTCCCCAGCGTCTCTGTGCTGGGTGTGGAGTCTGCCTAAGATTCTCTCTCCCTCTCCTTCTGCCCCTCCCACCACCCCCCTCTCTCAAAAGGAAGGAAGGAAGGAAGGCAGGCAGGCAGGCAGGCAGACTGCTGTGGGTGATTGTTTAACATCTACTTATCTGCAATTTGGAACCAGCAATAGAGTACCTGAGCCAACTGCATGAATTCCTCTGGAAGGAGCTCCCATGTGCTGCATCTAGCAGCAGAACCTCTGGAGAAAGATGCTCAAGAGGCTCACAGAGCCAGGACTGAAAACAGAAGCCTCTGGTGCAGAAGCAGTGAGTTCCCAGAGGACAGTGGGACTATTAATGGTCTAAATAGAAAACCAATTAGCCTGCTAGTGAGAACGAGAGTCCTACCCAAACAAATCAGTAATCTATAAAAGCAGCTTTACTCTTCCTTGTGGCCTGGGGGAAGAAAGTATTTACAGGTACTCTCTGTGGGCCAGATCCCAAAGAGCCAGAAATAATCAAACCTTACACTCAGAACATTCAAACAGGTTTCTGCTGAGCATAGGACCAGGCCCAAGTCCCCTTGGGGGCTCAACTGACAATTACCTACGATCTAACTGAAGTCCAAAAATAGAAAATGAGACTATAAGACCCTCTCTCCTTCCTCTTCTCTTCTTCTCCATTGAACCATTAAAGAGTCTGCCACCCTGGAAGAAGGAAGTAACCCATTTTAGCAGTCTGCATCTGATTCAGTCTCTGTTTATACACAGGGAACTCAAAGAGGCTTCAACACACCCGGATTGCAAAGTAGTTCACACCGTACATCTCCAGGTCCTGAGCTATCTTCAAATATTCCATTTCAGCTTCATCCCTGTGAGGAGAATGAAAGACGCTGTCACTGGAGCTAAGTGAGAAAACAGAGGGCGGGCCAACCTGTGTGCCAGCCAGAGCAGATACCAACAGAGCTCTTCCCAGCCCTAAGTCTATGAAACACACCGAGGTCAAGCAGAATTTCCCATCCCCATAAAAGCCAGAGAACAGATTCATTACAGTGTCTCTTGGCTTCAATTTCATGCTTTGTCCTTGGTAAATAATGATACTCGGCTCAAGGAATTCAAGAAAGCACGTGGTATATTATCTTCACCTCTCAAATGGATTTGGATATGCAGAACTAAGTTGTGGCTTTATCTGATTGTGAACTTTCTTCACCTAGGTTTTGGTATTCAAACAATTCTCTCTGAGAGCTACCTTCCTGACTTTTATTTCTTTGGGTGCTGTTGGAGGTTAGGCCAAGAGATATCTGGGCTGTAAAATCCAAGCCAGGTCACCTATTTCTAAGCTATGAGTCAAATTTAAAGTAAGCTCTTAAAGCAGCAATGACTTGCAGAAAACTTCCAAATAGGTACAATATTGAAATATTTTAACTTGATCTCACTATGACCTTGCCTCTTGTCTTTCTCCAATCTCAAAATGTTCTCAAATGAATTTTAAAAATTCAGCCTAAGAGAACATACAGTGTTAGCAAGCATGTGGAGCAACTAGAAATCACACACACTGCTGATGTAAATTGCTATAATAACTCTTGAAAAATTGTTTGATGTTATTTTAATAGCAAAAACCAAAAGACAGACCAACACCCTCAATGTCCATCAGTAGTACAATGGATAACTCACGCTTTATTAATATAGTGGAATTCTGCACAGCAATGAAAATGAAAATTTTACTGCTGTTACATACCACAAACCCAAATCTCACAATATGATGCTGAATAAAAGAAGTGAGACACAAAAAATAAAGGCTGTCCCACTGCATTTATAAAAAACTTAAAACAGGCACCACTACTCAATGGAATTAGGGATCAGAAGAGTAATTAGCTTTGAGCAGGAAGGATGGTGAGTTAAGGCAGGGGGGTCATGTGCTATCGTCACCTGGTATTACACGGTATTTTCACTTTGTGATAATTCATTGAGTGGTACATTTATGACTTGTCCACTTTTCAGTACACAAATTTTTTAAAACAAAAGCACATTATAGGAAGTTGATTTGGAGAAGAGGATGGTATTTTTTTTTAAGAGGATGGTATTTTAAAGGCTAATGAAAAGATGATCAGTTCCTACAGTGATCAGGGAAATGCTAATGAATACTTAAGATTCAATAAGTCACCTTTTAGATTACAAAAATTAGATTGATAAAAATGAATATTGGGGAGAGAAATGAGGGGGGAAGACATGCACATACATTGTTGGTAGGTAGGTAAATAGGTACAATCTTTCTGGAAGGCGATTTAGTGGCACCTGTCAACACAAAATGTTCACATCCTTTGACTCAGCAACTCTTGCAAAGAATGTATCCTCAGAACTACTCATTTAATTATATAACAATATTAGACTGTACACTGCAGGAAGCAAAAATCTATAGCTTTTCCAAATGTCATCAGTAGAAGAATGGACAAAAAAGCTATGGGATATCCATACACTCTAATCCTTAACATGACACTGAATTACCAATGAATGTAATGGGTCTATACATCTGGACAGACTGTGCACGCATTAAAAGAAGGACACAAAACTGAAGGCCAGCTACTCCCAGCTCTCCCTTTTCCTTCTATATACCTCGGTACTGCATTTTGTTCAACAAGCATGTCCTAATTTTGTATTCCAAAAACAAAACAAAACAACAAGAACAACAAAAAAACCCATATGGAAATGTAAACCCATAATGAAGCAGCCTCACCTGGCTCTGCCTCGGTGCTCTGCGTACCAGGCTGTAATTCTCTCCTCCCACATTTCTGGAGTCATTTGATACAGATTTATTACCTACCAAAAAATAGAGTGAAACAAAAAACCCACACAAAAAGAAAATTTGGGTATTGTTTGCCATTTTTATAATTATGCATCATTTTTACAAAACAGCAAAGCTGTTTTTAAAAAGCCACATATAAGGAGCCAGTAACATTGCAGAGGTGGGTGTGTAAACAAGCGCCATTCAATCTGAGTCACAACTTAGAAGGGTGCACCTTTACTCAGGCCTAAGTGCACCCCTTGCCCAGCTGCAGCCCCTCTTTCTCGGGCTGTGCATCCCAGAGGGAGGAGCTCGGCCAAGCTCTGTCAGAAGTGCTCACTAATCTTGGGTCTGCTGGCTGGGCCAAACTGTATGTGCTGCTCCCTCCTTCTGCACAAAAGCCATCAAAGGAGCAGGGAAAGTCAGGGAAAGGTGAGAAGCAGGCCTTTATTACACATGACAGATGAGTGGAGCTATAAAATGGGGAGCAGCAAAAGGGAGGGAAGGCCTGCTTCGGTGGCTAATGGACAATAAAAACACCACCAAGGATTAAAACAATGTCCACCCCAATTCATCTCTGTTCTCCCTGCCCCACTGCAAACAGCTCAGCTCCCTGAGCTGAACACATGCTGCTCCAACAGTCTTTCCTGGGAATCACCGGTGCTCACCCACTTTGAAGGAAACAAACATTCAAGGCCATGCTAGCTCTGGCAATGGTAAACGAACTTCATGAACCAGTGCTTTTTAATATTCTTAACAGAAATTCTACATTTCTTATTCACGATTGATTACAAAATATTTATTTAAATGTTTTTGCCAGGTACTTCCAATATTCCTTCAAGTCCCCCAGTTACCTTTTTCATAGACCACATCTCCACTGTGTCTCCCCAAACAGGGGATTGATTTCTTACCCTTTTTGGAAGCAATTCCTCTTGGGCCAAAAATCCACGTTTGTGAACAGAGGGGTCGTAGTCACCATACTGGAAGGAGAAGAAAGGGAGGGCAAGTGATTGAGATTCTAGAGACAAATGCCATTTCTGAACAGAGCTCGACTCTATCTTATCCCCTCCCAGCTCGGGGAGCAATTCAGTTCCAATTCAGTTCCAATGACAAGTCAAGATTTCAACCTTGCTAGTTTGTTATCCTTGAATGAAAATACAAAGCTGATTATATCTATGAACAGAGTTGTATAATCCTGTGAGGGATGGATGGGTGATGTGCTAATAAGAATGTGACATTTGTATGGAAATGTAGCTTTGTTTTCTAACCCACAAAGAAAGCAGCCACTACCAAAACATTAGCTTTTGAAAGGAAATAACAAAACACAACTGTGAAAGTTGTAATTAGCAACGTGTGATAAGAGTCTTACCTACAAATCCTTCTAAGTGGATGGTAATTGGAGCCAATTGCTAGGTTGGGAGCTGGGAATAACGCAGGCAGTAGTTTTAATACCTTTCATTCAGGCTCTGAAAAGTGCTTTGGAGAAATCTGATACCAATGCTGTCATTCCCATTGCACAAAGAAATGAGAAAAAGGTTAACTAATTTCCCTGAAGCTACAGAGCAAGTGACTAGTGGGGCCAGAAATAGGCCCTGTATTTTAATGTACCCATTCAGGGACAATAACTTGGAAATTCATATTCTGATTTAAGAAAAAAATATCCCTGGGACGCCTGAGTGGCTCAGTCGGTTAAGTGTCTGCCGCCTTTGTCTCAGGGCATGATCCCCAGGTCTTGGGATTGAGCCCCATATCAGGCTCCTTGCTCAGGGGGGAGCCTGCTTCTCCCTCTCCCTCTGCTACTTCCCCTGCTTGTGTGCTCACTCTCTCTCTGTCAAATAAATAAATAAAATCTTTAAAAGAAGAAAAAAGAAAAAATCTCTCTTTCCGAGAAAACTTAAGTCTGACCAGGAATAAAAAAAATGAAGGCATTTTTCTTTCTTTCTTTTTTTCAGAGAGAGAGAGCGCACATGAACAAGTGGGTAGTGAGGAAGGGCAGAGGGAGGGAGAGGAGAGAATCTTACACAAACTCCCCGCTCAGTAATGAGCCCAACACAGGGCTCAGTCTCATGACTACGAGATCATGACCTGAGCCAAAATCAAGAGTCAGAAGCTTAAGTGACTTAGCCACCCAGGCGCCCCCCAAAATAAAGGTATTTCTTAGAAGCAACTATAAACATATTAAATATAAAAATCAAAGCCTGTCTCTTGGGATTGAACAATGTTCATTAGCAACTTTAAATTGTGCCTTATTCCCATGCCACCCTGTTAAAAAAGCACTATGAATTAATTAATGTTTTCTATGAATCTCATCATTATCTTTCAAATAGCAGAATTGTACCACGCTATTTTATGAATGTTAAAGTAATTAACTTGTCAAATTTAAATATTTAAAATATGCCACAGTTTCTGTACCTCTGTCTAGGCATGTCTTCATTTAAAAAAACCTGAAGGAACCTGGTATCTCTTGATGTCCCAAAGGCCTGAGCATGTGATGAGCCAGTAACTGGACTGAGTTTTAAGGGCATTGTCTTGGGAGGGAGCTGCAGAGTACAGGCAGCGGCCTAGCTCTGGAAGCAGGCTGCTAAAGGCTCAATCCCAGTTCTTCCACTTAGTAGCTGTAATCTTAGAAAATTTTGTGTCTCAGTTTTCTCACCTGTTAAATGGGGGATAATGACACTATTTGTCTTACAGGACTTTGGGAGGATTAAATGAAATAATACCCATAAAAATTGTAAAACTATGTTTGACACATAGCACTCAATACAACCGGATATCAAAAGACAAAAACTCAGTGGTGCCTGGATGGTCAGTCAGTTAAGCAGTTAAGCATCTGCCTTCGGCTCAGGTCATAATCCCGGGGTCCTGGAACTGAGCCCCACATTGGGCTCCTCGCTTAGCAGGGAGCCTGCTTCTCCCTCTCCCTCTGCCTGTTGCTCCCCCTGCTTGTGCTCTGTCAAACAAATAAAAATCTTACCAAAAAAAGGCCAAAAACTCTGATTGCATTACCTCTGAGTCTCTTTCCTAATTTGTCACATGAGTGTTGGTCTTAGAGGATTTTGAAGGGGGGCTGGTCTGGAGTATCCCTCTGAGGCCTGGGACATCCTCCCTCTCAACTTCAGCTTTCTTATCTGAAAAGCCAGGGTCATAATAGTGCCTACCTGGTAAGGGGGTGATGAGGATGAAGATGATCTAGAGAAGCATTTTTACATAGTGCTTGGCTTATTGCAAATGTCAGTATTATCCTCTGCATTATTTATGACATTGGCCACTGTTTGCCTCTCTGATTTCTGAAGGAGTAGGATGCGAAAGCAAGCTGTTAGTTGCATTTGCAAACCTCTTAATGGTGCTGACCAAACTCTAAATGCAGAAGTAAGCAGATATGCAAAGTTAAAGTTGTAAATCCAGGTTCCAAAGGCTCATGAGATTAATGACCCACATTATCATACTGAGCTCCCAGCTACTTCAGTGATCAAATGTTACACATCTGAGCAATGCAGAGGCAGCTTAAGGAACTTCATCACTGGACTAACTCCACTTACAACATTAAAGCCACCTTGATGTGTGTGTCTGCTCTCAAATGTCTCCTTAAAAAACAAAAGGAGGAGAAAATCTTTAAGTGGTGGCAGTTGGTTAAGATAAAAGAAAGTCGTGCGACTCCGTAGATGGAGATGGCTGTCCCTCACCCTCTCTGTACACATGCATTCTAAAAACAGCCTGGAGTGAATTTACTTTAAAGCTAATGAAGTTTGGGTTTTTAAGTCCCCACACCTGGGTAGGCTTGAATCTAATTTTATATTCACAATTTGGTATTCTTGCATTTAAAAAAGAAGTCCCCCCCTCCAAAAAAAGAAGCCCCTAAGTTCTATCAACTTTAAGCCCCACAAAACCTGGATCCACCCTAATATAAGCCAATTGAATTTAAACTCAAGAAAGAAAGGAGCTCACCATTTAAAGGACTCTTGAAGTCAATTCTTAGGTTAAATAGAAACTTTTTCTGGATGTGAAATGCTATCCAACCTCTATATACACGGAAAATTAGACCAAATGCTTTGAACAGGATTTCACAAAACAAAGATTTGATCAATACATACATAGAACAAATAGATTCTTACCACATACCAGTCCACTAAATTCCAGGTGGATTAAAGACTCAAACCTATAAATGAAAATCCATAAAAATACCAGAACAAAATATAGGATATGTGTACAACGGTTGGTGAAACCATTCTAAAATCACTCAAAACATAAAAAGAAAAAGATTGACAAATCTGATACATGTAAAAAGAGATAAAAGGTTAACACCCATAATATATGGAGCTCCTATAAATCATTTAGAAAAAGACAATACAGTAGAAAAATGGGTAAGCTCTAAACACTTGATTCACAGAGGAAAGAAATACAAATCACAAGTAAATCTGTGAAAATATTCTCAGCCCCTATGGTAATCAGGAAACGAAAACTTCAGGAAAAAAATTCTTTTTCTGTCAGATTAGCAAAAATTTTGAAAGACTATTAACATCCACTGTTGCTGAGGATGTAGAAAAACAGGTATTCTCACATGCTGTTCTTAAAAGTTAAATTAGAACAGGATGTGTGGGTGGCTCAGTGGTTGAGCATCTGCCTTTGGCTCAGGTCATTATCCTGGGGTCCTGGGATCCAGTCCTGCATCAGGCTACAGGGAGCCTGCTTCTCCCTCTGCCTATGATTCTGCTTCTCTTTCTCTCCGTGTCTCTCATGAATAAATAAGTAAAATCTTTAAAAAAAAAAAAGTTAAATTAGGACAAAACTTTTGGAGGACAATTTGGCCATACATATTTAATGTTTTTTATTCCAATAAATACACAAAATTCACCATTGTAAACATACAATTCAGCAGTCTTTAGGATATTCAGAATGTTGTACAACTACTGCCACTATCTAATTCCAGAATATTTCCCTCACCCCAAAAAGAAATCCCATACCCATTTAGCAGTGAAGTCCTGATTTCCTCCTCCTTCCAGCCCCTGGCAACCACTAAATCTACTTTCTGTCTCTACGGATTTGCCTGTTCTGGACATTTCATATAAGTGGAATCACACAATAGGCAGCCTTTTATGTCTGGTTTCTTTCACTCAGCATTATTTAAATTTTAAAAGTTCTTATCCTTCAGCCCAGTTATGCCATTTCTTGGTATTTATTCTAGAGAAAGATTGTTCCTATGTGCCCAAAGACGCATATTCAAAGATGTGCACTGCATTTGTTTAAACAATAGAAGAAAAACAAACCTACATATCTACCAATAATGAGGCATTTAAATAATCCACAGTCCCTCTTTTTCAGGAAATACTGTTCGGTAGTTTAAAAATGAGGTGGACAGGGGCTTCTGGGTGGCTCAGTGGTTGAACATCTGCCTTTGGCTCAGATTGTGATCCCAGGATCCTGGGATGGAGTCCCACATCAGGCTCCTCACAGGGAGCCTGCCTCTCCCTCTGCCTATGTCTCTGCCTCTCTTTCTGTGTCTCTCATGAATAAATAAAATCTTTTTTAAAAATTTAAAAATAAATAAATAAAAATGAAGTGGATCATCTATTCTAATAGTTTTAAGTAAAAAAGGCACACTGTATGGGAGTTCCTCTGGAGTAGCCACCTACAGGTGGAATTCTGGGGACACGGGGACGGGATGTCCTCTCACCTGATGGGCTCCTACTGCATCCATCATTTTATAGGGACAGGCCAGTTCACAGTCCCTTTCCATCAGCACATGGGCTCAAACAACGTTTGTCTCTTATTTACTAATCCTTGTCAATCTTATGAGTTTGAAATGTATGTTAGTTAGTGTTGCTTTAATTTTTCTTTTTCTTGACTACCAGTGATATTGAACATCTTTTTGTATTTACTGACCATTCTCATGTTCTCTTCTATAAAGTGCCTGTTATGCATGCCCTTTATACTCATATACTTTTTCTCATATACTCAAGAATCCTTTATATTCTGGAATATATCCACAATTCTGCTTGTAGAAATCTACCTTAAGCGGAGAAAGCTTTTGCACATGTACACAAGGACTCATATAAAAGGATTTTCAGTAAGCATTGTTTATAATATGAGGAAAAAGGGAGCAACTAAACTTACCTCTCCCTTCAAAGGGGGATGGTTCAGTAAATTAGGCTTACTCATCAATGGCCACCATATAGCAATTACGATCATCTACATCTACACATACAACATGATACATCTCAAAATTGATGTTGAGTAAGAAAAAATATCAATATCTAAAAATATAAGCCAAAAAAGGGGTGAGGGAATGTGCAAAGTATAGTACCATTTATATTTAACTTTTACCTCCTGGATATTTTCAAGCTGGTCTCCTCCCATCCAACTGACTACTGCCGGAGGTATGATCCTTAAAGCCTTTCACCAGGATAACCACCGCACAGCCTTCTAACAGGTCTCCCTGCTTCCAAATCTGCCTCACTCCAATCTGTCCTTCACAGAGCCACCAGTCCAAGTCCCTGCTCCGCTGGGTGTCGGGTATACTTGGACCCAAGCTCGAGCTTGTAAATAAACCCTTGTGTGTTTGCATCAGTGTCGTCTCCTTGGTGGTTTCTCGGATACGTAATCTTGGGCACAACATCTCTAAACTATAATAACTGGCTCTGCACCACCCACACAATAAAGTTAAGACCCTTTATGATCAGGACCCTTATAGACTTCTCCAGGCTTAACACTTGCCACTCTTCACCTATACTTTATGCATCCCCAACTTTTTAAGTGCCTGGCATCAAAGAGTACCAAGAAACACTAAGCCTCTTCTCCCACCATTCGTTTCTCTGAACACTAAAAGTCTGTCTATAGGTAAGCATTGCAAGACTGGTAAATTACATACCATTCTCTCCCAAAGTCATTTTTAATTAGAACACATTTCAAACACCAAAACCCAACAGGAGGCTTAAAACATTGCAAGATGGTTTGGCATGTCATGTGACTGGACAAAAAAAAAAAAAAACACACACACAAAACAACAAAAAAACCAAGCAACAAAAAAAACCCCAAACCCAGCTCAGATTTTTGATTCAAACAGTCAAACATAACTCAAACTCTAACCAAGAAATATGGTTCTTGTCAACTGAACCATGTGATTAATATTTGTATTTATACTTTGAGGGTAATTGTTTCTTTATGCTTTGGAATTAGCTGTGTCTATATCATTCAAACAGCTGAAATACTGTAATGAATACATTTGTGCATAATTATATTCCAAGTGTTAATGAGCCCGATTCCCTTTCACACCATACTTCTAAAGTTCTTGTCTGTTTCAGAAAGATTGTGGGAGAAAACAAACTGAATATGATGGAAGAAAACCAGTATAGTTTCCTGAAAAGTTTGGACTTATGTGACCCTACAAATGAATCTGGAATTTGGAGAAAGACAGTGCGTGCTATCCAGAGACCTCCCTCACACGCTACACAGGAAGGGCAAGAGTCAGGCCACCCCTACACTAGGGTTCTCATCCAGCTCTACTCTCTAGTTCCATTCTGCTTCAATCCCATCCATCAAGAAGTGGGTATAAATCCCATTAAAAAAATAATTAATATAAAGTATTACGACTTTAAACAAATTACTAATTCTTTCTAAACCTTAAATTACTCATCTGCAAAACGGGCATAATGCTCTCAAGCTGTGGCTCATGGAAAAGACTAGACTGAGTATCACACGAAATATTCATGTGTGACAACACTTTGTAAAACTGTAAAACATTACAGGCATGTAAGATCTTTTTAATATTGTAATCAGAGATACCTTTTTAATGTTAACCAACAGTCCTAGCAACCGGAAGCACATTATAATAATCTTTAGTTTCTCAAATGCAAACTCGAAGCCATAGATTACCTTTATTTGTAAGATCCTGAAAATTTACACTGGAAAAAACAGTTAGAACATCCTCCTCCATATGAACCACATATGCTGTGAATCACTTTCATCTCTAAATTAGTAGGATCCAAATTAGTAGGGCTTTCCTACAGTGAAATCTGTTTAAGCAAACATCTGCTGGTTCCCTGAAAAGTTATTTTTTTCCACAGGTGGCCTTTGAATTTGTGGTCCAAAATCCATGCAAAGGAAATGTAGCCTTTGAGATTAAAGCCCTTCAAAGAGAGGTAGTGTCCTTGAGAGCTTGGGTCTCCTCTCAGCTGGGGAGAAAGCATGCTAAAAAGGAACTAGGTTCTGGGCCAGGAAGTGCTCAGATTTGATGAGAGTGACAATGACTGCTTCATCACTGTCAGGGCAATACTGATTGAAAGGACACATTTTTCCTGTTATTAATATTCTTAATCAAAGCATAAAAGGAAGCATATGTTTAAGTTGAATCAAGGCCCATTTTCTGTTTTTTCAATTACTCATTTTTCTGGGCAGTGGAATAGGGGAGGCACAAAACAATCCCAAAGCCATGAATTCTGCCCATAGCTTTACCCAAGATTGTCCAAATGACCTTGGGCAAATTGCTAAGAGCAGATACTCGTTTTAGTGTCTGTATCTGTGACAGAGTTAACAATCCCTCCTCAGGCCTGGTGAATACTCAGCAAATATTAGACGAGTCATCAAATGGCTGAATTGATTCCGGTGCTTCTGACCAGCATGAACAGACTAACCAGTCTAACCAGCATGAACAGACTCCCCCCCTCCCCCCTAAATGACAGGCCAGTCATTTCCTGGCTTTGATCTGAAATTGTATTAAGCTACCCAAAAAAAGTGGGCTAAGAAGTTCAGAGTGTCTTACTAATTTTTATAACACCACAGGGAAATGACTTTATGAACACCTCTAACGAAAAAGGAAAATAAAAACGGAACATATTATGCAAAATCACAAAAGTAATGAAGGTGCCCCAATTCTGGGGACCTTTTCTTATGCTGCAGTGGGAGGTAGGAAGCAGTAGGACCAAGTACAGGGGGTATCTGAGAGACATGAAGCACCCCTGACTGACCCTGTAGTTGGCCTTATGAAGACAGGACAAAACGCAAGAGCAGTGGTCTCCTTCACCGCCATTCCCAATCCACAGTGATTTCTCTATGAAAGACTCACTAAAAGCTCAAATGGGCTCAAGGTAGCCAAAAGGCCTGTCATCCCCAGCCATGAGCACAGCTACCATGCTCATCAGGGGTGGATGAAGGAGGGCATTCTCTAGGCAGTAGTGTGGTTCCCACACACAGGGCTGCCGGTCCTCAGAAGATAAATTTGGGATAAAGACCTGGGCCTTTCTGACCTAAAGGCTATAGTTTGGCCAAAACTGGAGACCATAAATTCATTTTCCCTGGTTAATAAAAAGTCCGGCGACTGTAATTAACCACATGTGCATAATGAGATTACACAGACAATTCATCATAATCCTCACAAGATTATACAGAATCTGGGACAGTGATAATAGTTTCTGCAGCCCACAAGTCTTAAACGTCTCCTTCCTGGGGAAAGTCTCTCTGAAGCCTAGAAAACCCAAAGAAACAAAAGACTGGAGTGCTCCTGTGACACACATTAATGCCAAGGAGGAAGGCACTTTCCTTCTTTGAGCCTACCTTAGCCTGGACGGCGTAAGAAGCCAGGAGCACAGAAGCCTCGGGAGGGCAGTAGATCTTTTCATCTAAAATCTGCTTCTTTACCTAAAAGGGGCAACAAGGGAGACATGACACTGTGTGCGAGGAAGTGAGCTGTGCATGCTGGTCACAGCAGATGGCTGCAGGGTGTTCTAATGAGGGCTGCCAAACCAGTCTGTTAATGATTTTCTTACAAAGGGTACAATTTTTTTATTGCTGCAGACAGGTTGGGAGTTCAGTCACTGAGAAGTCATTGGTAAGATGACTACGCATAAAAGAAACCCCTATCTTTTCTGTTCATGATCAAATGCTGAAGAGGAAAAACACTTTTCTGGTTAAAATAGCGGCTGATATCTGGACTGTGACAGACGGAAGCTGTGAATTCCGGAAGTGTGAGAACAAGCTCTGGTGGTGATTGTGGCCTCGGCCCCTGCTGAGCACACACACCACTAGAGGAAATGGAGTCTACTTTAAAGTCTTAACACAAGGCAAAAGTCAGCAAGGCCACTGAGTTATGACTGCAGGAAAAAAAACCATCACATTCAAAATGCCTGCTCTAAGGAGAAAGGAAGCAATAAAGTTTGATCGATTAAACTCTTAAGTACATGTGAGGTCCAGGAAATATAATTCTTAAGCCATAATGTTGAATTAACATATCTCATTGCATTTAATTTCTTAGAATGGTGAAGCGTGTGATGTTCCAGACAGAGAGGCAAGAGAGCCTCCCAAAGTGGGGGCACACTGAAATAAACATAACAGGAAAGCCAACTTTCTTTTCAAAGATGGCAACGGTCACCAGATTCATAAAAGTAGTAAATTTTCCTTGCTCAGAAGTGAAAACACTCTACCGTTTCAGTATGAGGGAAAATTAAGTCAAAGTCACATGAAGGATGGGTACTGCTTCTAAACGCTAACAAGAAAGACATCTCTGTTAACGCTAGGACATTCTGGGGCCTAGGAAACTATTATGTGGCTTTATTCAAAGCACTGCAACTTTCTAATCCCTTGGTTTCTTTTCAAAGGGGAAAAAAAAAATCCACACTGTAGATAAACTGAAAAGGTTTCCCACTGAAGGAAAATGTTAGGGATGGGGAGTCTGAGTGTGTGTCTGTGTGTTTGTGTGTGTGTGTGTGTGTGTGTGTAAATATATGCACACTCACACTTTTTTTTTGGTAAAACAAATTATTTGGGGGTTTTACTACATTTAACTTAATATTTACTGAACATAACAATCTGAGACTCAAACTAATTATTTGAGGACTATTTATACGAGACTATGTGAGAGAACATACATACATCTATTTCTGGGAAATCATATAACCAATGCTCCTGTGCAATCTGCTCTCTTACTGACAGTGAGCACCTTTGGGCACACAAGCAGCTCCAGCGCCAGTCCCTACAACTAACCATGAAACTGGGGCAGCGCTCTAATTGAGCAGTTAGAACACAAACAAAACTGACAAGAGTTTCATCCTCACAGTAACTCCTACTCTCTGTCTCCCAGTGACAGTCAACTAGTGGTCTTTAAACCCACAGTTACAGAGCTCCTCACTTGTTCAACTGGGTTGGGCAGTTACTTATGGAATGCCTACTATGCACTCGGTGAGCCTTGCCTTCAAGGGGCTTATAGTCTAACGAAGAAGTGGGAGAGGAATATGACACTTCAAGGCAATGGGCAGCACGAAGCACAATGTCTGAAGTTCCACGTGTGTAGAATTAGCCATGTGGAGTGAAACTCCAACTCGCTGGAGTTCTAAAGTCCTATCTTAATGACCCCAGATTTCAAACTTTTGGAAGAACTACTCTAAGACTCTCTCTTTGGACTTCCTTTGTACCTATTAGGTACTTTTCACTCAGTGACAAGAAAACAGGATCCATCTTCAAGGAGACTTCAAGTCAGAGACCCCTTCCTTACACTACCAGTTTTGCAATCTCGTCTGACACCAATTCACATCACTCGAGTACAGTTCTATTCCAAAGGATTTGGGTTTTTTTCCCATTATGGAACCAGAGGGACTGACTTCCCAAAGGCAGACCATTTTCGCAATGTGAAGACATCTGTGGCCAACTCCAAGGGGGTCATCCAGGCTGCCCTAGCAACGCCTGGGCAAGCTCTTGCAGAACAAACGGGGCTAGCACGGACAAGGGTACCTGCAGGAAGAATAAATGTTGCGTGATCTCCTGAACCAGCTCCTCCTCAGCATTCTCAGGATAAAATTTGGCCAGGAAGTGAAAGGTGACGGGTTCTTCCTTTGAAACATCATGATCCAGCACCTGCACAATTACAAAAGTAAAAGAAGAGCAAGCTATGTTGGCACCTGTTTCTCCCCGGCCACCATCAAAGAACCTTTCACATAGAGCATAAAAATGTTTTTCTCTCTCTACATTCATCACATGTCCCAAAGGTTATGGTCTTACAGTATGAAGCATTCACAAAGCCATCTATAACAAGAGGTAATATTCACCTCACATGGCGTTTCTGAACCAAATTAATCAATATCCCCAAAGGGGAGTGGAGCTAAGATTATTAAGGCACAGATGTTCTCAAGGCCACAGAGATAGTTAAAAACTAGAAATTTATAGCTCAGAGGTCTTGGGCACTATCCTTTACAGTGGGCTGACGGTTTTTTAATTTTCTGAACTAGTGGAATCTTCCTTTATTCTTTTTTCTTGCTGCCAACCCCCAACATTTAGTTCCATATTAAGATGGAGCTTAGAGATGATGAACCCTATCTTTGTAAAATCCTCTAAACATTAACTGAACAAAAGAAGTGATATGTGTCCATGGTGGCAACCCTTTGTTTCAAGGAACCTCTAGAGATGCCCTACAAAATACTTGAGCACAGTCAGTAAACCATGCTGCCTTTAATCTTCCAACAATTTCATCCACCCACTGAAAAGCTTGAACCATCTGCTCTCCAGAATGAATTTCATTTCAGGACATAAACATGCCATGTGACAGGCTACAAGGCTCCATTAACATGTGTCATAATTTATTTCCTTTGAGCAGCAAGGTTCCATGGCTCCTGATGCCCCCAATCTAATATCCATTTGGCTAACACTCAGGTATGATTTAAAATTTACTTTGCTGAGATTCACAAAAAGATACGGAAAGTTTTGCTGTCTTAGATAGATAATTCTTCATGCTTCTGCCCAAATTCCAAGTGGCAATGCCCAGGAGACCCAAAATAAACCAGATCTAGGACACTCTCATGGACATTGGTGCATGGTGGCATTCTCATGCTTATATCATTGGGAATTACCATATGAAATTTATAACCAGTGGAGATTCCAACATGATTCAGATTACTGTGTACATATAGAAACACGAATTGAACACTTGAGTTTAGAGTCAAACTTGTAAAAAAACAGGAGGCATTCATTGTTTATCATGCCATACAGCAGACGATAAAATCAATTGCAGAGGGTACCATTTGGGTAAGAATTAGACATTGACTTACTTTGAGATCTAGAGGACTTTTAGGAGTTACTAACAAAAACAAATGGCCCTGTTCCCAAACGTCTTCATGGTTAGGTAGGCAAGTAAGTAGGTAAGTGTGCCTTTGTGTGCATATGTGAATCTGTGCAGAAGGCAGTTCCCTTAGGCAATATCCATTTCTAAGCCACATTAGAACTGCTGGGAGTCTCAACTTGTCTTCTAAGCCTCAGAAGCCTCAGAGAATTATAAAGAAAAAAAAAAAAAAACAGACATTCTTTCTTTGCCACAGGGACCAGGGCACTCTTTATTCCTTAGATCATGTTAATGTCTAAACTGAGTTGGGCCACAGTGTTTCTCAAAAAGACTTAAAAACATTCCCTAAAGAACATGAGTCCCAAGCAAATCTTTCAAAGACATAAACTATTAAAAAAAAAAGGATAATAATATAATAATTTTTATTCATAAAGCCTGAATAGTGGTTCAATAAATTAAACAGCATAAAGCCAGAAGCAATTAGCCTGGTGATAGGGAATAAAGAAGCCAGAGATGGCAACAGTTTCATCTTGGTTGGTTCTGCTTGTAGGAGAGCATGTGAGGAACAGATAGCCTATGGCATCTTTGGGACCTGTTTTCTACGTGACTTACTTCAGGACTTGCCCCCTTCTCTACTGTGTATCCATAGTACCCCAAGATGAGCAAAGAAGCTAGGCACATGCTCAGGGAAAAACCAGAGCACACACCAGCCTCACTGGTCTCATCAAGTTCCAGCCCAACCTTCTTGTCCATTTTCAGCCAGGCCACAGTGTCCTTGATCGTGTACTGCAGTCCAAAGAACCAAGTTTCCCGAAGCCCCAGAGTCCGGCACACCAAGTCGAAGAGGTCCTTCCCCTTCCACTTCATCTGCAATATAACAAGCCAACAGGAAGGGTATTGTGAGCAAAAGTCATAATCTGCTTGAACAAAAACCTTTTCTCTGCACTCCCTACTCTCAGGTTCCAAAATGTGGGGATGACACTAAGATGGCTGATGAGCACAGAATTCCTAAATAATTTTAAAGCTTTCTACACAAACCATGAGTGGGAAAATACCAATTAGAGCTTAATGGCTTAATCACTCCAAAGCATACACAATACCTCCCTTGGACAGTTCCTTACAGATCTTAATATCCCCAAAGCTGCTAATTTAGGAAAGCTGGTAAATAAGCATCCTCATTTAGGAGAGTTTAGCCTCTTGGGTTAACCCAGGGAGATGGCTAGCTTCTAGGGATATTAATTTCTTTGAGACTTTGTCATTAATTTTTTTTTTTTAAACTCATGACACTGTCCTTTGATAAACAGCTACTGGTTTTGTTTGGTTTGGTTTGGTTTGGTTTTAAAGACAAGTTTTACTGGAAGTTTTATTTAAAAAGCAAGAGAGGGGAGGAAGTTGTAACTGAAGCCATAAATCACACACAAAAAGAACCACTAGCAACCAGTCAGCCCAACCACCATCCTGATATATAACTGAAACCAAAGGAGAGGTGACTTACCCACAGTCACACAGAGCAATTTCAAACTCTGTATCTAAACCCAGGGGATGAGCAAACACCAATATACTGCAGCATGCTTATCCTACAGCTTCACTTTCAAAAGGACCTAAAGCAATGATTGCTAAATCTTTTTCTCAGCTTTTCAATCAGAGAAAATGGAAAAGTACATTCGATATCTTAGTAAGAGAAGAAAATGCCCAGCCACTTAGTAAATGTTGCCACCTTGTGGCTTCCAAGTTAAATCACCCAGGATGTTCCCATACTAGCCCCGTAGCTGGGCTGCCCCCCCCCTCCCAGCCCCCAACATCGCCCCCAACCCAAGGTATCTGGTGGACATTCAAATATACACTGGGTGCAGTTGTGAGCACACGAGACACATCATAGAGAGGGAGGTCACAGTAAGAATAATTTGGGGATTCAAATGCAAAGTCACCAGACATACTGGAAGGGCAAGACCACTCGACTGCAGAAGCATCTGTCCTTCTCCTGCCCTCATTAGAAATCTTCTCCCAAAGAAATGTGTGGGAAATATCAGAAAGGGAGACAGAACATAAAGACTTCTAACTCTGGGAAATGAACTAGGGGTGGTGGAGGGGGAGGAGGGCGGGGGGTGGGGGTGAATGGGTGACGGGCACTGAGGGGGACACTTGACGGGATGAGCACTGGGTGTTATTCTGTATGTTGGTAAATTGAACACCAATAAAAATTAATTTATTAAAAAAAAATCTTCTCCCAATGTCCAGGCACACAGAAAGTACATAATGAAAAGGAAAGGAAGAAAATTTAGGGTTTAGAGACATGTTATAAAAGCAAGAAGGAAGAAAAAGTCAGACTTCTGATATCTGGCTTTTGCTAAAACCTAATTTTACAGAGGATTTTTCAAGTAGGGCTTCTATTTTTAATATATATGAATGAACAGTGTGTTCTCTACGAGGTACTCAATAGGAAAGCCCATCCCTTCTCTGTGTTTACAGTCAAAGAGCAAAGTAGCAACCTATATGGAAGGGCACCAAAACTGCAGCAGACAAGTGGCCGAGATATGAATTGGCTTTTGTCCTTCACTGGGGAGGGCCATTTCTCCTGTATGCCCTTCCAGCCCTCCCTCATCTCCTCTCTGTGAGGAGAGGCCCCTGGGACACTGCAAAGGTTGAGGTCTTTAGAAATGACTTTGAGTAGATTAAATAAAATGACAAGTTTTATTTAAAAAAAAAAAATCTCCTTCCCCTTCTGCAAGTTTACTAAATGTTTGGTGGCACCCCCATTTCTCCAGTCTGACAATAGCACAAGGGTTTTTTAATTCATGGCAGGTTTTAATTCCTACAGGCAGATTTCACTGAAGAAATGTTATGCTGGAAAACTAGAAGCTTTGGGATGCTGATTACCCTCTTGTCTCTATTTTAAGCCAGTACATAGTATATAAATTATAAATGACTACCTTTCTACAAGATAATGTAACGCTAAAGAACCGACATTAACTTGGAGAAGTTGAACACCCAGGGGCCTGGAAGATCACAGCATCGATTCCCAGGCTGTCAGAACTGATGGCCACAGCCACAGCGGGACTGGGCTCTGCCATGGAGGGACCGTCCGCAAGCTGGACGTGCAGTGCATCTCAACCAAAGCTGCGAAGACGATGATGAGTCAATTTCTTGACTTTGGGGGGTTTAAATTCTCAAGCACAGTATCATATTAATGCAGTTTTACAGTATTCCTTTCTACTTGTTTTTAAAATGCAAAACAATCCCTGAAAGCGAATAGACAATGTCTTTGTTCCCAGGAAGCTTGCAATAAAGTGAGGAAAGGGAAAAAAATTCTCACCCCCATTCAGAATGCCCCTATTTAGATTCTTAATTTTGACTCTAAGGTCAGATGTGAGCCAGAGTAATTACCTACTGTAGACTCTTCCCTTTAAGTAAAAATAAAGAAACTGAGCCACAGATTCTTTGGCAGCCTTCTGAATCAGGCATTGGTCTTTTCCTGGTGATCTAAGGTAGGCAACTCCCTCAGTTCCTCAATGGCCTCTTTTCCTGCTCTGAGGGCTTCATTTGTCTTGCTCTCCACCAGCACTCCCCAAACACCTTTTCCTGGAAGAAACTGGTATCTCAATACTCTTCTCCTGCCCTGAAACCAAACCCATTCTTACAGGAGCCAGATATTGCTTCTTTACAGCTCAATGTGAATTAAAGTCTCTCCTACCTCTCACTCTTTCAATAAGCACTACAGAGCACATCTTATGTGCCCAGCAACACCAGACAGAGAATGCAAAATGGTGGACTCATGGGACCTGTGGAAGACACAAGCAAAGACTTAAGTCAGAAAAGGCTTTAGAGAACAAATGAGAGTTAAATGAAGGATGGAGAGACAGAATTTTAAAAAAGAAAATCATGATATCTACAGTGAAATGCAAGTCATCTCATAGAGCTGAGACAGAGCCTGAGCTCAAGAGGGGGCATGGTGGGAATGTGGCGCCATGTGGGGCCAGGTGGCTTGCCACGGAGTCTAAAAAGACTCTTGCGAAGAGAAACTAGGGGATTGGATCAGCATTCTGGAATGTGCTTCCATCAACGAGGCAGAGAATGGGTTGGAGGAAAGGAGCCTAGAATCAAGAAAGGCAGAAAGGAGGCCAACTCCCACCTTGATGAAGGCAGTGGGAAAGAGACAAGACAGCCTGAGAAGTGGGAAAGAGGCAGTCGCAGAGCTGACTCCTGAATGCTGTTAGGGACTGCAGGAACAAGAATGAAGAGTGACACCTGCATTTCTGGCTTGAGCACCAGGTGGTTCTACTAGAGGAGAAATAGCATACTGAAGGAGAGGCATATTTCAGAGGGAATAGAGGAATAACTAAGTGTTAGGATAAGTTTAGGTGCCAGAGGACAAGCAGAGATGTCCTAAATACATTTGATTTAAAGTCTTATTAGCTCTATTTATAAAAGAAAATGCTCGGGGGCCCCTGGGTGGCCCAGTGGTTGAACGTCTGCCTTTGGTTCAGGTCGTAATCCCAGGGTCCTGGGATTGAGTCCCACGTCAGGCTCCCTTCATGGAGACTGCTTCTGCCTATGTCTCTGCCTCTCTCTGTGTGTCTTTCATGAATAAATAAAATCTTAAAAAAAAAAAAAAAAGCTCTAGGGACGCCTGGGTGGCTCAGTGGTTTAGTGCCTGCCTTCGGCCCAGGGCATGATCCTGGAGTCCCAGGATCGAGTCCCACATCAGGCTCCCTCCATGGAGTCTGCTTCTCTCTGCCTATGTCTCTGCCTCTCTCTCTCTCTCTCTCTCTCTCTCTCTCTCATGAATAAATAAAATCTAAAAAAAAAAAACCCACTTTATTGTTAAGTAATTAAGAAGTTTTTCTTTGGGGTTAAATCTAACCTCTAACATATTATGTACCTACATGAGGTTCTACTTTTCAACACGCCCTTCCCCAAGCGTATGAGGTTTGCTTAGCCCTCCTAATTTGATTTTCTACTTCTTTATAAACCACTGGTCACAATTGTTCCAGGTGGTTCCCGTAACACTCTGAAGGGAGGTCTTGGGCTGTGAATGGGCTTCTTTGGTATCAGCTGACTTACTAGACTGTGACCATGCCTGTCTTTACGGTTCTATCAGTGATTCACTGCATTATGCTGATGCTGTGACATGATATGAATGTCTGAATGTCTCCCAGGATTGTAGGTGCCTCAGAGCAAGAATGGCATCGGTCATCTCTCTGTTGCCCTCACTGCCCGGCTGCCTTGGTACATACAAGACACAACAAAGAGTGGCCATCCAACAGAAGATCTGCCTGCTCCAAAAACCCAGGGCTCAAAAACTTAAGCAAAATTAGCCCTCATTAGGGCCACCTGGGTGGCTCAGTCAGACATCCAACTCTTTTTTTTTTAATTTTTATTTATTTATGATAGTCACACAGAGAGAGAGAGAGAGAGAGAGGCAGAGACACAGGCAGAGGGAGAAGCAGGCTCCATGCACCGGGAGCCCGACGTGGGATTCGATCCCGGGTCTCCAGGATCACGCCCTGGGCCAAAGGCAGGCGCTAAACCGCTGCGCCACCCAGGGATCCCAGACGTCCAACTCTTGATTTCAGCTCAGGTCTTGATCTCAGGGTCGTGAAATCGAGCCCTACATCGGGCTCCATGCTGGGCATGCACCTGTTTAGGATTTTCTCTTTCACTCCCCTCCCCCCCTCCCAGCTGGCAAACTCTCTCTCAAATAAATAAATAAGCCCCCATGCATCCACTCCTTCAATAAATACTTGGTGAACACACATTGTGTCTAACCACCACCCAAGGTGCAGGAGATAAATAGAGAACAAAAGAGACGGTCTCTGCTCTTACAGAATAGGACTAGGGCATGAACCAGTCAGAAACAGATAATCAGG